TTCATTCTACACGTTCTTGTTCACAAGTTCAGGGATGGTGACGATTATCATTGATTATTTATGGAGTCTGTGATGAAGTCTACCAAATAAGTACATACCATCTGTGATTTTCAGAGCTTGGGCATCTTCACTAGTGACAAGGCAGCACTCTCTTCGCCAAAAGGACTGTGGTATTGTCAGCCTTAGAGTATATGTCTAATTACTAATAGCACTGCTTGTTGCTATTCCTTCTCATTGTCCTGCTGTACTAAGTGTTGGTGAAACACACCCTGAGCTCATGCAGATAGAGAACAGATGTGTCTGCAGGTGCCTGGCTGCACCAAACAGACCACTGAGAGCAGTTTCCCAATCATCATGACAACTATAGTCACAACATAATACCACAGTTGTCAGGTATGCATTAATGAAGGCATAGTAATGCAGCCATAATTTGTCTGTAACTTGGAATCCTTCAGGTTAGAATGGATGCTGCAGAACAGAGCTGCCCAGGTATCCTTGATGCAAATTAACATTTATTATGGGTGTTCAGTGTGGGTGCTCCAAAACAAAATAGCAGTCCAAATGCATACCATTTGCTATCACATAGTACAGTTGCTAACAGCAGTTTATCTATACTTACTCCGGAAAGTTGCAGTGCGGTATTCTTGGAGATCCTGCCACAGACTCATCTGATCATTCATATAGCACTACTTAAGCTTGGAGGTTCATCAGGGAAATGACGCTCTGTCCTTTTGAGCTGTTCCCAGGTACTTCTTGGTCTAGGAGTTGAAGGAAGCAGTGGAACAATGAAAGTTAATGTCTCTTCATCACAGGTATATGTGGAGATGGAGATATTTGTTCTTGGAAGTTTGGAGAGGTACAATTCACAGTTCCCCACACACGGCCTGCAGAGACATCCACATCTCAAGGACACTAACTTTGTATAAACACAATGGCTGGAATCATTTTAGTGACCATCGCTGAGGAGAATTGCTTGGTGAGCAGTGGTGGGTGCAGTGACAGCACCTGCTGGCAGATGTGAACAAAAAAGGAATGGCATAATCCTGGAGGAAGCCTGAAAGACCTGGCAGCAAGAGCATGGCGTGTTTTTTGAGAGCATGGTTCTATTTTTATGATGTGTAGGCAGCAGAACATCACTTGCCTGCTTACCTTCAGATGGAATTCCTTGGTAGGAATGAGCACCCCATCAGCCCTGTGACCATGCATGATGTGACTGGGTGTAACTAGGTGGTGACATATGTTCTTATCAAAACAAGCACCTGTGGCTGCTGCCTTGCCAACAAAGCAGTACAAGTCATTGTACTTTGTCCTATGGACTTCCACTTTTTTTCCTTCTGAATAAGACTGGAAAGAAAAATTTCCCTCACTTTAGGAGTTTTTGTCCAGCCAATGCCCATCACCTTTGCTGTGTGCAGTGTTAGCTGGCCAGGGCTGCCACAGGGGCTTGGGAGAGGCTGGCACTGGTGGTCTGCAGCAAGGTCCCCCTGCATTCTTGTGCTGTCTTGGTGCCAGAAGAAGCCAAGATAGAGAAATAGTATCTGGACCCAGCCCAAAGAATTGTGGAGCAACTCTTAAAATCTGTAGCTCAGCATAGATTGGGAAACAGTATTTAAATACCATCCTCGTGCCTTCATGATTTTTTCAATTTCTTGAAGTCGAATAAGCAACTCTTGTCATCTTGTATGAAGACAAGCTTTGGTGGATCATTTGCAGTCTCTTCTTGCTACTGGTGAGTATTCCTGTCAGCAAAGTCCAAGGCATGAATGTAGCAGTTTTAAATCTTGATGAATTTCAATTTCTTAGTCTCCTCTTAGGTGTATACAGCATCTGCCAAAGGTGCATGAAAGTGAGGTGGCTGTTCTAAAACTTGTTGGTCATGTGTATTTGTAAGGTGATGAGGCGGGAATGTGGGTATTAGGATATGACCCAAGGGGTTGGAAGGCTGTGTGAAGTCACAAGGGCTCATCCTTTGCAGGATAAAAAAGCCCGAACAACTGGGATCTTGCATGGGTTGTGCCCATGCAAGGGCAGGGCCTGATGTGAACTATTCTCTAGTCTCTGCCCGTATTTCTCCACCTGAGAAACAATTTGTTTTGTCCCAGAGCAGAAGCTGAGTGTAAAGTTATACCATTGTAGTGGTTGCAGCAGCATAGGTGCTGTCTGAAATGGCTGCTTTGAAACTGGTAATTGCTTTCTGTTACTTGTTCTTAATACACTGAGAGAAACTAGATGTTGTGTACCTTTTTTGCAAATAAACGAGATTGCATCAAAGACATACTGATCCTATCAATCTCTCGTCCTGACATAATCTGCAGGATCTCAAGTATAGGCTGGCTGCTTTAAGTAGCAGACAGAACACTAATGGAAGCTAATTTAAATTTCTATTTGCAGCCCTCATTTAGAGGTGCATAACCTTCAAACACAAATACCCTATATTTCAAATGTAACGTTAAATAATATGAACTACTGTCTGAAAATATACAACACACTCCCCTTTTGGAATGATGCACAAAGATCTTCTGTGCTTTGAAATGATTCATATCAGATGGGAAATAAAAGGATCATTAATTGATTCTTCAAATAAAAGATCACAAGTGTAACTGAGAGATCCTGTTGGAAAATCAAATGGACTAAATTTTCAGAGAAGCTTGTGCTTTTCACAGAAGTCTGCTGGCAGAATTTCAAATCAGCTTGATGATTAAACAGCAGGTCATTTAAAGTGTGTTTATGTTAACAAGCCTCTGTAACCATATTCATACTAGGGCAAGGCAAAGTACACAAAGTGTTTGTTAGATTATAATTAGATTAGATTACTTTCCATTATGTATTGGTAAAGGCAGCCCATGGGCTGGCTCATGTTTCAGGTTACTCTGCTGTTCCTGTTCGTGCAGCAGTAGCTCTGGGTAAGGTATCTGCATGGCAATATCTAAAAGCCCTGCCCAGCAGTTTTAAGTAGTGACCCTTGCACTTTTTTGGCCCATGATCCCATACATGCCACCACCCATTCTTATTATCAAACTTTAAACTGAAAATAGGACAAAAGTGATATGAGCAATGCAAGGTTATATTTCATAAGAGTCTTTGGGCTCCTTGCAAGCAAGTCTCTAGATTATGCTGCATTAAACTATATTCTTATTAGTCTATCAGTGTCACTGAAGAAACAGACCTGTAATTCATAACACCAGAAATTGGTGTTAACTACTTTGCAGTGTTCAAACCTGTTTATTACCCTTACCACCCATACTTTTTGCAGGCTGTGTATTCTCATGTGTTCCATTTTTGAAACCACAGAAATGCTATTTTTTTAGTTCTATTTCATTAATTCACTTGATATGTGTGAAGGCAAAGTAGTCACACTGACACTTCTGAAGAATGTTTTAATCCTTTGTTATTACATAATTTCTTGATTTGTTTTTATATACTGTGGTTTAGCACAGCAGTATGGACCCACCCACTGCATCTCTCTGTACTTAAATCTCTCTAATCTCTCTGACACTTATATGACATTTTTCCATTTTCTTGGATAATGAATAATTTACAGTGTGGGCCTGTAAAGAATCTGTGTTCGTATTTAAATATCTGCAAAATCTACAGATTCACTTTTTCATTTTGAAAGCTCTAAGGTAATAGAAAATGTTTAATGTACAGGTCTTCCTTCTTTTTCCATAAAGAGCTTTTGTTCTGCAGATTGCAAAAACACTTTATAAACTGTAACTTGTAAGATATATGACTTTTTAAGGTGGTTGGTTATTCCACTGTCAGAAATTAAGAATGAAATAGAAAAACTATGCTTAAGCCAATCCTGTGTGTAATATTAAAAGGGATATATAGATATATATTCACCTATGAGTATAGGTGGGGTCAGAGGAGTCTAAATCTTACAAGTCTGGGAAAACATTTTTGAATTTACTGTGTATTATGAGTTCTGATGTTAAACTGTTTTGTCCCACACTAGGAATAGAAAAAGCTCATTTAAGATTAAAAATTGAGGTGTCAAGGTACAACTGAGAGATACATCAACTATATGAATTTTAAAGATCCAGTGAGAGGAGAGAAGGCATTTAAACTCCCATATTGCCAGAGGATGCAGTCAGACAAACCAAGGAAGCAAGTGCTACAAAGGTCAGCCCAGCTTGGAGTTACAGAGATTGAGGTCTGAGCTCAGAGAGGAAAAGATGCAGAGATAAAGGCACACTGTAGGCAAAGAGGAAGAAAACAAGGAATAGCCTGGAAGATGCAAAGAGGCTGCTCTGTCTATGCAAGTAGTCTGAAACACAGGCAATCTCTTTTTAAAATCTTGTCTGGAACTACATTTTTCTTGCTTCATGTCTTCCTCTCAACATGCTTTTTTCCTTGCATGAGTTGTGGAGTTTGGGGGAAGTAGAGCATATTCTTTGCAATCTGTTACAAATATGAAGCTTAGAATCAGTCCCATTCCAGTCATCTCGGGAAAGATCAGCACAGCATTGCACTCAGTCACCTGAATTCAACTAGTGTTCTGAGAACAGCATGTAGAAATGGTTAATGACTTAGAGCTTCATATGGCAACCAGGGATCAATATTTACCATCCAAATATGGCTTTCTTGGAAATTGTTATTGTCTTGGTAATGAGATATTTTGAAAATCATCTGGGCTAAATTAATCAGATAGTGGTAACTGCTTAATTCCACTGAAGTGGTACTGCATGAGTATTTACTGAATGAAGATGTCAACTAACAATTTTATATTACTTATTAAAGCCAGACCCACAATCTGTTTAGAACTTTTACCAAAATTGTGCTGTACTTTTGCCAAACTGTACTTCCTGACTGCCACTATGATGCAAAGAGAGGGTTTTTTTCTTGAATATTTATATGTATCTTTATAATATAATGTAATTTCAATACAATATTGTTTCTTACAAATTGATTCATTGTTCTGAACTACTGATCTGGTATAAGCTAAGCTGTTATCACTGCCTGATCACACAGCTCCCTACATCCTTTTGATCTCTTTCCAGCTTTGAAGTTTCATCTTCCTTGTCAAGATCTGGAAGTGCAGCTCAGGATGTTTGTGCCCACAAATCAGTAGTAGGTAAGTGCCATCTTAATGTCTCAGAGAGCAATGTATTTTAATACTTATCCATTTAAATTCAGTGTGTAAAACTCAAGCTACACATGAAATACACTGAACCTTCATGAAAACTCTAAAAGGCAAATTGTTTATTGTGCTTCTAATGTGGAAGCAGATGTTTAAGAAAATGTTCCTCAAGAACGAACTTGATGCTTCAGTGCTGTGAAGCTTTACTATATTGGTTGTTGGTGTTGAAAGTCAGGAAGTCTGATGTGAGCAGCATGACTTAGAACAAGGTCTTTTTTCAGACTGGGTGCTTTAAGTATGAAATTTGTCATTATGTAGCCAGTCAATTACCTGATTTTCAAATGCTGTTTACACAGGATTCTATCTGGTCTGCTTTAGTTGTTCATTCCATTAAAGACACACTGGAAAGCCAGATCTTAGAAGCTTTTTGGGGGCACAACACATAGGATGCCTTCGGGCACAGCATCTTACAAGCTCTGTCAGCCTCTCAAGGCCTTTTTAACACCCTGCATGTTGTCTTGTGTCATGATCCAATACACCCCCATGAGATAACTGATACTATCTTTATCTGAAACTATCTCAGAACAAAGTAAAGGAATTAAGAAACCTCTGCCAAGGCACAGATCCTGCTAACTGATTAACCAGTGTCCCAAACTGTTTACTTAGAGTGCTGCTTGAGACCCCTATGAAGTCAATCTATACACTTTATTAGGCATCCTGATGGAAAAAAAAAAAAAAAAAAAAAGGAAGGGATGATTTAAGGTCCTAATTACCTCCATACTTTTCCCCAGTCATTCCAAACATGCCATGGTCATGATAGCTCCAAGGATTTTTCAGGAAGTTCTAGAAATAGTTGGGGAATTTAAACCTCACTATGCCTCTTAGCTTAGAGAAATAGCATCCTGCATTTGCAACTATTTGTGGGCAAGTCATGTAGCAAAAGCTGGGTTTTACTGTGAGCATCTCACTGATTTTATTGCCTATCCAAATTTAGTAATTAATAAAAAAAATAAAAGCACAATCTATTACAGATATTGTAGAGCAAATACAGTGATTTAAAGTTAAAATTCAGAACATTAATCAAATTTAATTTTTCCTGTTACTATAGCAAATCTCCACAGGAATGTGGGTCTTGTCTCACTGTGCTTATACAAAGTTAATGTGTAAATTATTCACTTTCTAATCAGTCATCATCAATAGTGTATGTTTATTCACAAGTAGGAACAAGAGGCCCAAGTGCTTCTGTATGGGATCTACAGCTGACATTCCAGCATTACTGATATTCATAGTCCTGTAGCTTGTTAGCCACTTGCTGTCATGTGAACCAAAAACTTTTAGGGACCTAAATGTTTGCTGACCAAATCTCCTAGGTACTTTCATTTCTGCTGCTGGGCACACACTTTATGAGAGGACGATCAGGCTTTCCCAACATCAGAACAGGGCATTTGTGACAAAATACTTAGCTAAAGACAGGTTTTGTTCCAGACTAATTTTCTGAAATTCAGACTGTCTTTCAAGTCCAAGTAAACTAGTAGTTCATTAGTAGCAAGCCATCAATCCTGCAGATGATTTAGATGGTTTTAAAGATCCTTGGAAATAAAGAAAAATTATCTGAAAGAATCTAATAAACACATCTGGAATATTTTATTAGGATCATTGTATTTAGTTTGAAATCTCTTGAATTAATCATTCCAGACTGGTGTTAGAAATTCTTACAGTAAGAATAGGGTATCTTAAATTGATACTTATAGGCCTGAATTAGTGATCAGCGACATCTCTATATCCAACTTCTTGTTATCTCTTAAGTGTGTTTTTGGAATTGTTCATGATTTTGTAATGAAGACTATTTTTGTACAGCATACAGAGTGATAATGTAAAAGCAGCAAAGAAGAGCTAGAAAGTAGTAAGTTGGAGTTCAGAAAAATACTGTTTTCTTTTGGCTGACAATGTTATATAAAGATTTCAGAATTAAGAATAGAGACAAAGTTTACTTTAAATTTCAGTGCACCCAACTTAACCTTTCAGAGCTCTGCAAATTCTGGGAAACATTTTGGACAGACTAGGATAAAAGTAACATTTCAGTCACAATATATCACTGCTCTTCAAGTTAATTACAAAATGATTGGTCACAGGTATAAATTTTCACACTATTCCACTCCACTCTCCAGTTGTGAGAGTAAAACTTTGTACTATCATAGTTACAGAACAAAAACTGCCGACCTTTAACAGAAAAGTTAACTTTTGCTAGAAGGGTGTAACATCTCATTACATATTAATTTAGTAACTATTAATTTAGTAACTCTTTTAAAAAGAGCAGCCCAACATCTCTCATACTTATTACTTCTTTTGAATGATATCAATAATGGCTTGTTCTGAATTAAAGAAAAACTTGGAGGTTGGTAATTTAATTGGAGGATAATTCAGTTTCTTCACCTAAAAGTAACCAAGGTTAAAATCATATGCAGCCAAGTTACTATTTTAGCCAGACTTAACTCTTACTTTTTTCTAATAGTGATGTAATAAATCCTTTTTAGTTGTTAGTAGTTGAGGTTGAGAGAAAAGCTTTGTGTGAACTTTGTCTGAATTGCAGAAAAATTACATTTTAAATCTTCAAAAGAAGTAAAAAGAGGTAGATATTGATTGTAATTAGGAAACTTATTTCTGTACCTACTCCAGATTGTGTGACAAGTGATTTAAACCTCTCTATGTGTGCTTTCCCAGTGGAAGAATAGCCACAGGAATATTCACTTCTGCATAATTCATATTTGAAAACCATAATACATGTGAAATGTATTACAGTGACTCTTTCTGAATATAGTTCTCTCTTTACCATAAGGTTGCCTTGCTAATTGCCTAAAAGTATTTTGATCAGAGGAGTAATATTATAGATTATGACCTGGTAGGTTAATCCACTTGTGCTTTTGCAATTTCAAAGTTACAATGACTTTTGGAAAACTGAATACTCTAGAAAATTAATATTTATCAGGGAGGAAATAAATGTTTCTTACATTATAAGGCCATAAAATTTTGTGTTTTATCCCAAATATTAAAGTTCATGTCTCCAGCTTTGTTGAAAGATTCAGTTTGCATATAGTCATAGAATGTCAGTAAAATAACCCTTTGAATTTGATCTCCCTTTTGAGCTACAACTTAGAATTTCCCAGTGATAATAACTTTGGTGGAACACAAGGAGGAAATGTAAGCTAAGTTCTCCAGAAAATCAGAATTTCAAATGGGGGAGGTGGGGGGGAGAAGGCACTTTGTATTTGAATTTATAATTATCTTTCTATTAAGGATGAAAAGATGCTTTTGACAGGAGGGTTGAATTCTCTCCTTCCCCATGTGCTAAGAAGAATAATTCGATGCAATAGACTCAGTATTAGTAATATTTCTGGAATGGCAGAAGGTAAGTAAACCTAACAGCTTTCTGTGCAAAGTGATTCTATTTTAGATTCATAACTATGTGGTTTTGGTTTGTAAAGGATTGAAGAAATATCAAAAGCACCAAAGTAAAACAGAAGAAAATGTTATGTTCTTTGGTGTTTTTGAAATCATATTATAAGCACCTGACTCTGTTTTGTAAATCGTAAAGATCTATCAGAGGAAATACACCATCCTACCTGAGTAATGCACATAGACTTTGTTTTCAGTGTTTGCAGAGCATCCCTAGCTTCCATTTGAGAAATGATGGATGTAGAAATTATTTTTTAGATCTTTAACCAAATCTGTGTTTTCTTGCATGTTATTATCACATTTGTAAGATGTTCTTCACTATATTCTTCACAGAGACCTTGCTTTACTTAGCACATTAGATATGCTTTGGGGAAGAATTAGAGACATATTGTTACAGGAGTGGTTTTCTGCTTCATTTTTTGCAGAAGGTGAAGATTATTGGGTCAGCAAGGCTGGGAATTATAAGGGGGAGTGAAAAATTAGTTTCATACTCAGATAACTGAATGCATTCTGGAAAATTGATTTCTGTCTTGCCTTTCATAGCTAAACTTTTACAGAAGCAGAGAAGTCTGCCATTGTTCTGATCAACTTTTAAAAATAACGTAAACAAAAATACAATGGCAAATAGCTGATTAACAAAGCTGTGTATACAATAGTAGCACTACTATAAAATATGTTAAAGGTCATGTTTTAGAACTGTAGTGAGCCTTGAAATTGTGGGGTTTTTTTCTATCAGTTCCTAAGTTGAAAAATACTAATGGAAGATATTTTATAATGTTAATAATTTGCAGTTTGCCCCAGCCAAATTTTTGAAATGAATTTATTGCTGCAGTAGTTTTAAATGTATTAATTCTAACATTTTTAGAAGTATTGTTGACATATAAAACAAGTTGATGAACAAACAGTTTCATTATACAAAAAGAACCATTGTAACAAATTGTCTTACGTTGTTGTTAACCAATGCTTTCTTACTGTCTTCATTGTCATTCACCATAGGAGTTAAAAGTTCTTTCTAAACTTCTCTGAACTTGGACATGAGTGTGTTGAATTACTGCCTGGGTTGGTCAACACATCCAGCTCCACTACATTGCTTGTGAATACATTCATAATGATGGCTCCATAATGCAAGTGAATCCATCAGGAGATATGAGTTGTATACAAAAAGAAAAGTTAGCTATCAGGAGGAGCAATAAAGTTCTCAAAGTGTTATAATGAAGCTTCCTGAGTTTATCGAGTATTTGCCTGGAAATTCAGCCTCTCATCTATAACTAGTATATGAAATTCACTGTTGTCAGTTGAATGTCCTGACTAAACCCATAATTTTAAGAACTCATTAATATAACCAGTAAAGCAGAAAGTGGATTTCTCAGGGATAGCAGGGAATGAAATTGAGGGGTAACCGAACTTAATGTTTTATTCAGTGGTTAATGTAGTATGTTTATTTAGCAAAAATATTTTTCTGTATTTAGCAAGAATCTCATTCTGTATTTAGTAACTTTTGCTAGTAATAAAATGAATTTTTGTGCTGACTACTCCCAAGAGAGCAGTTTGTGGACAAATTCAGTATGCAAATGCATGGTTACCTCAGCCTTTGCTTTGCATTTTTCCATCAGGAATAGAATTCTCTTTGGATTTCTTTGTTAGCTTTAGTCAAGAGTAAGATCTGGCTTATTTTCTACAGCCTTTGAAGGCAGCTCATTGATTTCAACTAAATTATTGCCTCTTTGATAACAGACTACTGCAGTATTTAAGAAAGTGAGTGCTTCTGTGCAGCCTCCTACTCGCCTGCCTGATATCAGACAGTAATAACTCTTCAAGAGAGAAGCAGTACAGCATTTAGGGATTATTAATTGCTGGGTTTATACACCCCAGATCAGTTGTACTCCAGATTTCCCCCCATTATTTGAACAGTTGATATTTCCATGCAGGAAAGTTTAAATGGCATTGGTATTAACTGCTACTGTTAAGAAAATAAATTTTTTGCTCAATGGGACCTTTCTTCAGTGGTATTCATTGCAGAAATCTTAATGTTTTTAGAAGCTATTTCATAGTAGTAGTCAAGAACCTTTTAAATCAAAGTTGTTTCCAAGTGAAGAAAGTGTAGCAGTTCTGTTTTAGTTTGGTTTTTCTCTAAGCAGAAGTTAAATCAGAACTTTAATTAGAAATTACTGAGATTCAGTGGACAGTCAAAAGTTTATTCCTGAGCTGTAATCATATCTCTTTAATTGCAGCCCATATTAAAATTCCCTAGCCAAGAAATTTTAAAGAATGTGCTATGAACATCAAGATACCAGGAGCTTACTTTTGGATTGATTTATATCTTAGTGTGGCAAAAAATAATTGTGAAAGTGTGGTATGATAGCATTTCTTTGTCTCTGAGTTAACATTTGCAAATAAAGCATATTCCTGTATGCTAATGTCCCCAGTTAGAAAGGAAATTATGTTTATATATAAATGAACAGCTTAATTATGGTGTCTTCATGTTCTGCTACTACCCATGTCTGCCAACTGTTTTACCTGTGAATGACTTCACATATAGAGTAGGCCTAGCTATGATTTTTAAAGCATTTCAAGAAGTTTGGTCTAATTACGGAGTTCTGAATCAAAATTTTCCTTGAGGTAATTCTTATAAACCGTCTAAAGAAATTAATACAGAAAAGTTATTGTTTCACAAACAAAAAGCTGAATTAATAACCAGCCATTCCTACCTTCCACAATTTAAGGTTATAAACAGGCCAGTGTTGTGATTTTGCACAAGTCCCTGGCTGATGACTTTGAGAAGTTCTGCCATGCAAACAATGGACCCCTGCCACTGCTGTACAGAAGTCAACCAGGTGACTGGAAATGTCCTTCCCTGAGTAGTGATTCTGATATCAGGTAACTACAGACCAACTCTGCTGACCAATATTCTGAAGTGAATGCTGGTGGTGATTAGAAGAATTTGAGGAAACAGCCTGGAAGATTTTGAACAATGTTCTTTTCTTGGAGTTATACCTTTGAGTGAAATCCATGTGTTAAACATAAACAGCCTGATTATCTTGTTCTTGAGCCACATGTTATGATATATGTCAGTATTACAAGTTATTTCTCTAATCCAAAGGTGAAATTTTGTGTAAATTTTAAATATTTTGCAGTCTGAGCCTGCAGAATTCAATAATAGGGTTTTATATTTGTTTTGTTTACTAAACATGGCCATTGTGTGTGCATGATACTTGTAGAGTCTCTGAAATTTGAAATAGGTACTCCTGTGGTAAGCACTAGAAACAAGGTTTAAACCAGCTCCCTAATTTTTGAAAGCCTGAGACAAGATATGCATGAGGGGCCTTTACCTATAAAACCTAAAAAATCTCAAACTCTAACATTCTGTCTGCCAGCTTGGTTTTGTGCAGAATAAGATGTTCTGTGGGTTTTGCCTGTGTTTGTTTCGTTATTAGTCAGAAAGAACAAAATGGATAAAGCAGGCTGCATCATGTGGTTTCACACTGGGTTTATGTCAATTCAACCAATTCACCTTGTTTTTAAAAAATGTGACAAAGCTGTGATAACTTCTTATTTCACTAGAACTGACTGCCTACAGTACAGAAAATATGAGCATGGAGCTTGTACTGGATCACTGAAAAGCCTTAAGGAGTATTCTGAACAACTCAAGGACATGGTGACTTTTTATTTAGGCTGCAGCTTCTCTTTTGAAAAAGCAGTCCAAAACGCTGGCATTCCTATCAGAAACGTCGAGCAAAAATGTAATGTAAGCATGTACAAAGTAAGTATGTGTATACACACATAATCTTTGTTGTAATTTTGCCTGTGACTTGTGTCCATATTCAGATTAGGTGCATATACTAATTGTTCAAATCAGAACTTTTTTTCTCTACCTACACAGTAACTTAAGGCATATGCTACTGCTGAGCACATGAAAATATAGGGTAAAATATTCCCAGCCTCAGTTCAGTGTAAGGCCAATCTCCTTTTTTATTCCTTTTTCATGACAAAGCTTTCCCTGTTTCCTGTGGCAGCCATTTCTTGTGGGCTCTGTTCTGGTTTGCCCTCTCTGTTTCACTCAGTGATCCATGCACTGTTCTGATCATGTCTTTACGTGTGTCCTGCTCTTCATGCCACCTCCTGTTTGCAGCTGGTGTATTCCTTTTATAAACCATGACAATAGTGGCTTCTTCTGCATGACAGCCATGTTGTGGATTTTTCCTGTGGCAGTAGAGCCTTTAAACTGCACTTTTACTGCAAACCCAGGCCTCTGAGCCAGAAGATGTTCCCAAAGACTTGAGGTGTCTACCATAGCACTGAAAATTATGACTGTGCTCAAAAAGTTTGTGGTGTACATTTTGATGATAACAGAGTCTTAGAATAATTCTGGCTCCAGTAAATAACCCCCTTAATACTAAGAACATTGAAGTATGCATCTGCATGCCTATTTCATTTAGTTCAGATGCTGTGCTACTGGAGAAATGTTATTGTTGTTTTCAGTGTTATTGTTACACAATCTATGCTATGCTCCTGATCAAAATGAAGGTGCAAGCATATCTCATTCGTGAGTCCTTCTACAAAGCTTAAAGACAAAAAAATACAACTATGTATCTGCTTCTAGAATTTCAGGATTAGGAAAATTTTATAGTTTATAGCACATTAATGCTGTGAAGAACTGCACAGTGTGTTTCTTCAGTGACAGGTGTGATTATTATTACCATTATAAAGGCTTTAAATGAACGTTTTCTTGACAGCTCTAGCTCTCTGGATGTCTTGTTTATGTTCAACTGCAACTCAGAAATCTGACATTTTTTCCTAAAAAGCTGACCTGCTTTCTTTCTAAATAGAAAAGGTGCCTTAGCCTCCCAGTTGGTGAGGATGATGAATTCCATAGAGCCTTTGTAGAGGCATGAACTATTTGTATGTATGGAAGTGTCGTACAGCTTCTGTACAAGAGGATACTGCCATCAGCAGTTGCTGACTCTGTTACAGGGCACTGTATTCAACTACAGCAGGTAGAGTCAGTCTGAGTAGATTTGTAGGTGTGCCATAATTTTGTATTAGCTTTTTCACCTTGTGTAGGGAGAACACACCATTGTTTTTTAGACAATATTCAGCATACTGAGCTCATCTTGCTGTGTGCACCAAAACAAGGAACGCATTAAGTTAAAAATTTTAGTGATCTATATGATGGAGCTGAATTATGGAATCTTAAAGGAAAAAATACAGGATCCCAAGAATTTTTTTCAAAAGGATTTAAAATAAGTGTTAGAATGCAGCCTTTCTAAATTCAAGTGCAGCACAAAGATTTAGTTTTTATTTATTCTGACATTTTAGAAGTATTGTTCAATATTCCTACTAACACTGGATTCTTTGGAACTGGCAGACATCTGTGCCTTGCTACAGCGTTTCTATGTTTCACTGCAACTTAGTAGTCACAATGAGACCTATTCCTGAAAGCAAGCTGGGAGCAGCTGTGGTAGCAACGTCTGAATTAAAAGAAGCCCATGGAGCACCAGTTCACATCGGTGACCCTGGTCAGTGCTTCTCATTTCTCATTCTGCATGCACCTGACTGTGTATACAACTGAAGGGGGAAAGCATGGGAGGTGGTAGGAGTGAAATACCTGCACCACTCAATCTCTTCTAATTCTTTCTAATGGTCACAAACCTGAATATAAAAGGAAAAAGGAAGGAAGGAAAAAAAAAAAAAAAAAAAGAAAAAAAAAAAAAAAGAAGGTTTTGAGTGAGCTGAACACAGATTTCTTAGATAAAAGATAGCTGTCGGATATAGATAAGTTATCTAGCAGGGTGGTTTTGGTAAAAAGTGTAATCACATTTTTCTGAAATATGTGCAGTTTCATTTATATGTGAGTACTTTCTTGCTGTCAGAGATTCCAGTGACAGGATAGCAATGACTGACAGCATGGGGAGAAGTATATGTGGAGGCATTTTGTGCCTTAGTGGTTGAATGTGAAAGTAAATACTGCATTATTTTAAAAAAACACTGAAATAGCATACAATGAGACAACTTAAGACAAAATGAATAGAAATATGACAAGTTTTTTTTTTTACATCTAGTTTGAACAAAAATGAAAAAAAAATAGAGGAGGTTGTTTGAAAAAGAACAAAACCAAACAAACACCTGTAATATGAAGATAGATTGCAATAATTTCCCCCTGCTGTCATAAGTTTGGTAATCATGGGCTACATACACAGAAGGATCACATTGCAGGGCATGGAAGAAGATGTCATTGGTGAACACAACATTCCAGTAATGTACTTGAGTAACATATCTGAGTACTTAAGCCTGACAAACTAGTAATAAGTCTTTACAAAAAAGCAAATTAACATATATACAGATTATATAAACTAATTTCAGAAAAGAGAGTGGTATATTAAAGCATCTGAAGAATTTAAAACCAAAGGAAGACAGCAAGTGCTTAGAATGACCCAGATTACTACAAGTAGGTGTTAGAATAAAGCAAAAGACAATTTAATGAAAGGCGGCTAAGAGTGAGATGTATTTATCTAAGACAGAGTGGAAAAGAGAGATTGATCATTTCTCTAGCTAAAGAATGTAGGAAGTTAACACAGTAGAAAATGTGTTCTAGAAAGAACTCATTTTGCATTGCAATCATTTATTCTTGTTTGCCAGTGCCATGAATAGAATTCTTCTGTTGATCCAGAAGATTTATGTTATCTTGGAAACTCAGCATAGATTTCTAAACTGCATTTTGTTGCAGAAATAAGGTAAATACATTTTTACTGGTGTTATTGAGTACAAAAAAAGGGAAATCAAGTCAATTCAGGCTCTGAGGATGTGCACTAAAAAGGCAAACTAAATGTTCCACTTTAGGGGGACTTGACACTCTTGAACTCTTAACTCAGTGTCATTGAATGATGTTTGGGGTCTGCACCCCCAACTTTGCAGTATTACTGCTTAATCAGAATTGCTCATGATTTCAATTTTGATCTATTCCAGGTCTGCTGGGAATACAAGATCTTTCTAAACCAGACTATGGAGATCCAGTTCACTTTCACCCTGGTGACATTCCAGTGTTTTGGGCCTCAGGAGTGACAGGAGTAGAAGCAATTATCAACAGCCGTATGTGCTGCTTAGAGACTCTCTTTAAATTATCCCTCAATCTCTTTTCTCTCTCTCTCTCTCTGTTTTATTTTACTTTTTTTTAAAGGATACTGAATTGGCTGATTAGCAGGCTTGATTTTAGGGGAAGATAAAAAACACCAAACACCCCAAACAACAAAAAGCCTTTGGCAGGAGAGTTTTTGTTGTGAAATACATGTCTACTTTAAAGAAAATTCTTACTGAAATTTCACCACTTTTGTGTTTTTTAAATGTTTAAATCTACAGCTCTGGCAACATCAAAACATCTTTTTTAGCATTATAAAAAACAAGAAGTTTAAAGGCATTAATTTTTAAGCTCCTTCCTTTTAAAACATTATTTTGTACTACATTGAAGTAAAGCAATAAGAAAGGCAAAAAAAGGAAAAAAAATAAAGGAATAAAAAGAGAGAAGCCAGAAATCTTTCCAAAATGTTGTCAAGAGCTAGCAAATTGATTGACATGGAAAAGGGTTCTGAAGTGTCTCATGGAGAATGTTGAGCTTTTAGTTTTCTCCAAAATTAAGTAAATGTGACATACTTTACATAAGTGAAACTTTTTCTTCTGTACAGTTTTTCTGCACTGTGTGAAGTCATTTATATACTTCTCTAAGTCACTAGTGTGAAATGAAATACTGTATTTTCATTCTTACTGAAAAAGAATCCGAAAAATCATAGGCAATATATTTGGGAGACCCCTGGGAGGCTATGTGCTTTGTCCTTTTCTCCTTGCAGGCTCCTTGTGGTTTCTTATAGATGTTTATCTGAACTTCTCTCAACACCTGCTCTAATATGTTCAGCTCTAAGAGTCTTCTTGCTTTCTTACATAGATTCTCTTTTCTCCGGTCCCAAATCCATGCTGAAAATCCTACTCTTTGCTGGCTTCTTCAGCAAGCCTATTTTCATCTTCCTCATGCATCCTTGTTGTAGGGAAAAGAAAGGGAAAATTTGCCAATGTTCTCAAATCTGTTGCACAAGTGGCTGTCTATCCTGCTCTTGCCTGGAAGACTTTCACTTTTGTTAATTTCTACATTTTTTATATTAAAACCAGTAGTCATTAGTACATTCCAGGAAGTTTTTGGATAGTTTTTATTTTGCTATGCTACTTTCTCAACAAAGACATTTAAAATCTGCCACACCATCAGTACCCATGCTTTAGATGAACCTGCTAGCTTGTCACAAAAAAAACCTGTCTGCTCACAGGGTTTGGTGAGGTAGTAACACCTCAACAACCATGTTCACCAGGTGCTTTAAAGAGTCCCAACAGCTGTAGCTCAAACCAAGCAAATATGTACTTAGTAAAGAATCATCTTCTCTATTGTCAGCCTCCTAACAAAGAAAGTTTTGCTTGTTTAAGTATACCAGTTATGATTTACCTAACAATGTACCAATTTTGGCAAATCAAGTGTTACCTAGATTCAGACTTTTGGAGTCAGTATAAAGACAGAAAATATTTTCAGCTTAGGAGGCTACTGTGCTGTCTGGTCTAAAGAAGCTTATTTTTCTCCAGGGTTTTACTCGTATTTCCTTTGCTAATGTTTACTAGTCCACTTCTGTCATTACTCCTTTGAAATGAAATTGCCAGTTTTTATTGCCATGGTTTAACCCCAGCCAGCAGGATCAGGGAGAGAATTGGAAGAGTAAAAACTGGAAAACTCATGCATTGAGATAAAGACAGTTTTGTAGGGAAAGCAAAAGTCATGCATGCAAGCAGAGCAAAATAGGGAATTAATTCACTGCTTCCCATGGGCAGGCAGGTGTTCAGCCATCTCCAGGAGACCAGGGCCCCATCACAGATCATGATGACTTGGGAAGACATATGCCATCACAACAGACCTTTTGGAAGGGTACCAGAGTTCCATTTTTAGGTTGCCTCAAGTTTAGACCAAAGAGGACAATTGTGGAAAAAACTGATCTCAACTACCCACATGAGCTTTTTAAAAGTGAAAAAATTTTCAGATGTACATGTGTACATTTCTTTCTCAAAATGTGTTAATTGTTCCAATGTAAATTAAAATATCACCTGTTTTTGTAAGTGTCATCAGGCAGGGATTCTGTTGTTATATTAAGTAGCTTTTTGAAATTTTATTATCCTTATAATTTGTTACATTGCATTAATGACATTTAACTGAAGTATTTTCATTCATTTTAGGAGCTCCGTTAGCTTTTACTCATTCTCCTGACTGCACGTTCATTACCGACCTAGAGAAAGGTAATGTCAGAGCCTCGGGAGGAGTCCCACAGGTCCACCGCATCTCTCAAGATCCTCTGCATTTCAGCATTGTGTCAGCAGAAGCAGCCCAAAAGATAAAGACTCTAGAGACCCTCATTGGAATAGATCCAGGTATAAACAAAAACTGTCTCCCTTTAATGGATTTTTTGTGGGGTAGATACCAGCTATCTGCCTTTTTAGATATTTTAAATTCAAGAACACAATAAGACTCTAAAGGGGATTTTAAGAATTCTTTATAGAATACAGTGAGTTTATATAAATACATCTTATATTTTCTGTTACTGTAGTTAATATCAGAGTCTGGGCAAAGTCAGTCATTGTGGACAATGGAATATCTGATCTTGATGACTATATGGTCCCAAAGTACACAGAAGCAGACTGGAGAGTCCACAGGGAATAAGAACTGTTACTGAGTAAAACTGAAATTGGTATGTAGTACAGGGTTCCTCAGCTTGCTGGTAACAGCTACATGGGTATTCACTATGGAGTAAATAGCACATTTCTTTACATATATTCATGACTACTGTGATCCTACCAGAGAATTCCAGTAGCTGCATGTGTTTTTCAAACACCACTCTCTGACGGGTAGAATTATATTAATTTCTGCTGACATATCCATCACTGAGGTGTTTGATGGACCAAAGTGACCAGGTCACCACAGAAGATTGAGTGGTGAGGCTGCCTGTGTGTGCAAGGAAGAGAGGCAAGTAAAGGCACACTGAGTAGTGCAACCATTCCTAAAATACACACTGAGTTAGTCCCCTCTGGCTGCTGTAAAGTCTGAGCTCAGTGTGCCATAAATTTTCTGAAATCCTCTGTAGGCAGTAGTGGAAAACAGCTTACGCCCAGCACTCCCAAGCTCCGGGTTTGGGCTGTGTGCATACATTTGGGTCTGTTTATTTTTACTCACAAGGCCTCTCCTTTCCCACTCTCTGGAGCTGGCTTGGCATGATGCCATGCTCTGCAGAAATACAGGACCTAACTTAAAAGTTAGCTCATTTTATTGCTAAAGGAGAGTACAGTACTTTGTCTCAGTTAATAAAGTCAGGGGAGCAAGAAGGATGAATCTATGAGGAGACTGGAAAACACGAGTACAGTACTTTGTCTCAGTTAGTATACCCCACTTCTCAGAGACTTGTATTCTGCTTATGTTCACTTTAAGTTTTCTGAACTTTTTTCTCTGACCATTATCTGTGTATTGCCTGTGTATTATTTAGGAAGAACAGAGGGAGAAATGCCAAAGGGGAAATTGAGAACAAAAAGAGGAAAATGTGGGGGTCAGGGGAGCAAGAAGGATGAATCTATGAGGAGACTGGAAAACACCAGTGAAGACTTACCTCTATAAGCCCATCATGCTGGTACTCATGGTTTTCTTGAGTACTAGCAAATCGAAACAACTGAGCTGTGAAGTGACTGAAGCTTCCAAGTGACAGGGAAGGAACATGGGATAGGAAGTGTTTGAACAATGGAAGCCATACCCAGATAATAGTGTTGCCTATTTAGGGACTGACCCATAGGAAGAGACTTCTGTTAATATTCACCTGTTTCTCAAGGTCTGATAACGTGGTTCTCTGCTACATGAAGTGTTACAAGAACTTCTGGTAGAAAACAACTGAGCTGTGAAGTTTTTTCCAAGTGACAGGGAAGGAACATGGGATAGGAAGTGTTTGAACAATGGAAGCCATACCCAGATAATAGTGCTGCCTATTTAGGGACTGACCCATGAGAAGAGACTTCTGTTAATATTCACCTGTTTCTCAAGGTCTGATAACGTGGTTCTCTGCTACATGAAGTGTTACAAGAACTTCTGGTAGTCACCTGGATACCACTGTATTAACAGAGTTTATGAAGTCCCCAGGAAACTTACAGTGTCTCTGAAACCTCACTTCTGAGGATGATAATTTAATTAAGTGAAATTTATTTGGGAATTAGCTCTTCCCGAAGGGGATGGAGTTAAATAGAGACAAAGGATCAGTTTATACATCTGAAGTCTGCATCAAAACTTCTGTAAGGTCTGGGATGCTTGAGTTGCAGTCTAGCTTCAGTAGCTAAACATGGTCTAGCAGGACTGTCAAAGCAAAACAGAGGGCCTGAGGAAAGGAAACAATATGCAGTAAGCTCTCAGAAAAAGCTATTTACACTTATACCTAGAAATGCTAGATATAATAATTTTCAAAAGCTGACATTCTTAACCTGGAAGCACAGCTCATTATCTTAATTACTCATATCCTAGATCTTCTTAGGTTTCCTGAGGAAATTACCCCGTTCCTGCCTTGACAACAGGTTTTTCTCTCTTTTGTTTTTAACTCATTTTATGTCACTAAAGTATGTACTTTCACCCAGAGGGAAACTTCAGAAGGAGAGCGATCCATTGAAGCGCACTGCTCTCTTTAAAACCTCTTGTCTAGGAGAGCGGGGTATAAGGCACCTGCAGCGCCAGGGTGAGCTGCTGGGGGCCTGCCTGGCCCTGTCCCACGCGGGCTCCGTGCTCATCACCACGGGATTTCCCACCCACTGGAGCCACCAGCCGCCCGAGGAGAACGACGGCCCCCCGGGAGCCCTCGCCATCGCAGCCATGCTGCAGGCCTTGGGGAAACGGGTTGCCATGGTTACAGACCAGCGAGCCATGGATCTGAATAAAAAGATTATTGAAGAAGCTGTTCAACTGGGTAAGAGACATGGGTTTTTCAGTTTATCTTGCTAATTTGAGCCAAGTTTTGCTTCAGTTTTAATCTGTCACTTAGTACGGGACATTTTTTTTTCCAGAGAATGAATCAGAATTCATCCTCTAAGCTCTGCTCATCATTGTTGCAATGACATTTTGTTAACCTAGCTGGCAACAAGTTAATGTGTACATATCTGGGTACCAATTCTGGATGAGTTACTTGTGATAAATTCTTGATGTCTGTTCTTATTCTTGTAGACCTGTTTTCTACTTCAAGGTCCCATTTAACAGCTTTTACATCTAAACAAGTATAGGGATATAGGGAGCTCATCAAGAACTGTGTAAAGACCTTGAATTCTTACTGTTCTAGCAATTTTACTTTCTTTTTTTCTTAAGTTACTCAAAGATACATTATTCAAAAAAAAAAAAGTAGTATCTGAATTTCATTTTGCTTTCCCGTAGGAATCCTGAAGGAGCCCATCCCTCTATTGAGTTATCAAAGGGAAAGTGCCAATTCAGCTTTAATGTTTTTGTGTGAGAATGGGAATCCTGGAAGACCTAGGTATGTGTATTCCGTTTTTGAGAATGGGTCACATCTCCACTGTGCAAAATTATAATAAAAATAAGGACCTTGGTCTAAGAAGGCACAATGGCTGCAAGTAAATCCTTAAGACTTTGAATGCACAGAACAAACTTTAAAGCCAAACACTGTTAGTGGAGCATACACAGAGTACAGAATTCCTCAATACTCTGCAATTATGTACTTCTGGAGTACAAAAAAGAAACAATTCTTAATATATCAATAGTCCTTTTCCTTCAAAAAGTTTCTAAAATATTTCAGCTGTTATTGTATAAATATATATATGCACACACTATATATTATTTTACCAATTTTTAAATCAGTGAGAAGATCAAAAATTGTTATATCAAAGTCAGTGACAGAGCTAAGAAAAGTGTGCTGTGTAAAGTGTGTATTTTCTAGAGCTTTAGCTCTAGTCTGACAGCTAGGGAATCTGATCTGACTTAATAAAATGTCATGTGTTTGTAATGGTGTGATTAGGGTAAACACACTGGAGAATTTGCTAAGTAGCTGTATGCTCATTTCATTACTTAGCATGCAACTTATATTTCCTTGAAGTAGGCATACATTGCTCATTTTTATTGATCTTTCCTTGTATTTTAATATAGTTGCCCTTAGTTTGCATTCTTTAATAAAAAGGTCTCTCACCTCGGTATTTGCTTCATTAACTTATTGAATTCCCATTTCTTTCCACAGGTTAGGGTGTACCGTAATATTATGCATGATACTGTCTTCATTTTTTATGTGTTGTTTTAAAAATGTCTTTTATAGCTATGCTTAATTAAAGTACAGGCAGATTGTATTTAAATTGGTCCCTTAGTCCCAAAAGGCTGAAGTAAGTATTTTTTTAAAGTAGACAACTAACCTGCTAAAGGTCTCTGGAATCATTGTAGATACCCACCCACAAGAACATTAAATAATTCAGCAAAATTAGTAACCTCTTAACATTAAAATCAGAGAAATAGAAGCAAAATCACTTAATTCTAACCTACAGTGGCAGAACTGAGTACTATAGTTCTCCTTAAAATGTAGGACAGCTGCAGTACATCTGTCTACTTTCATAAGCAGCAAAACAGCCATGGACTTTAAAATAAATCCTTCAAATCTAAAGACCCAAACATTGCCTAACTAGAAACAGATGAATTTTTGCCAATGTACTTTAAGCAGAGAATATATTTGCACTAACAAGGATTTAGATGATCATTAATTTTCCGCTTTTTTGCTTTCTTTGAATGCACTTACAGACACTAATATTTTACAAGATACTGTCTGCTTTAATGTGAAACAGAGCCAGGCCAGATGGCTGACCCAAAGGATTGCTGGCTAGGAGGATTGCAGGAACTTCTCCATTTCTTGGTAGCAAATGTGATTTGGGGGAGCTGTACTAAAGCTATTAAAAAACACCTAAGCTAACCTTTGGAAAAAAAACCCCATAGACAACTACACTGAGAAATAACAAAACAGTGTCCAAGTTGTACCTTGAATCCCAAATGGTCAAAAAGTAGAACCAAGCACAAGCAGCCAACAGAAGTGCTTTTCATGTGAAAATCACAGCTTTGACTTCTTCCCTCTGTCTTTTCACTCACCTCTAACCAGATTTGATCACCTGGTAGCAATAGAGCGTGCTGGGATGGCTGCTGATGGCAATTACTACAATGCCAGGAAAGTGAACATTAAACATCTCGTGGATCCCATAGATGAACTATTTTTAGCTGCACAAACCATTCCAGGAATCACAACAACAGGTAAGTGTGAGTTTGTGTGTTGCTCTCAGGAGCAAGAGAAGCACAGAGCAGGAACTCTTACTGGTAGTGAAGGGGAGCAGGAGGCAGGTGCTGAGTGTCTGCTTTCAGGCTACAGCTGTTTGGTGGGATTTGAAGACACAATTGCTGGAGAAAAATTACAGGTTGCTATTGAAGGATTCTCACAGCCAAAAAAAAAATATTTCAAAGTTATTTAAGGACAAAAAAACCAAAAAAAGCAACCCAACTCCAGATGTATTACCTGTGCATAAATCTATGTACATACACTCTAAGTGCAGTTTTTGATAGTGACTTTATTCTGTATTTTTTGTGTTGAAGGCAACATAGAACATAAATGGTTGTTGGATGGTAACATTCCTTTTTAAAGTATTGGTTTTATGATTGTTATACCAGTTACATAAGTTAAAACAACAGTCTGGATAGAATATTTGTTTATATTGTCCTTAGCAGTACATTCCTTTAGGCAGGGATTACATATTTGCATCTGTTAAACTCCTGCCTTCCCCAACAAAATCTGTGTGTACAGTAAGAACCTTGAGAGGAATGCCTTGTCCTTCCCAACAAAACAACACTGGCCTTTGCTAATACTTCAAATGAGAATGCTTTTGTCAACTTGCTGCTCCTCTGTTTAGACAACAAACTTTATTTTCTTGAAAACTTATTTATATCTGGTTCAGAAAAAAATATGCCATAGACCATTGTACAATATCCTTGTACAATCAAATGCTTCCTGCTATCATGTGTGGCCCAAATGAGAGTTTTGGAGATATATAATCTCTATAAATATTAAAATCAAATTAGAAATAAGTACCCATGCCAGACTGATTTCTGTCACTTCAGAACACATCTGCTGATTTAGCTTTTTTTCTTCTTATAGTGGACTCACTGCTGTGTATTACCAAAAGAATGGGAACTTTGGCTGCTCAGTTTTGTTGTTTTTCAAATGTTTCCACAGCATTTAGAGAGCTTCTGCAGAGATAACACATAGTCTGATTTCACTCTATTGGTATCATTTAAAAGCTGTGTAGCAGGGGACTTCACTGATATGAGTTATTATTGTAAAATTTAAAATACTTTGTATTTAGATCTAATTTGGGGTTTTTTTCTAGTCATAAGATGTACCTTCCAACATTCAAAAGGAAGCACTCTAGATGGCACTGTCTTGGCAATCTCAACAGAGGACAAAGATTGACTGAATAAATATTATATAGGAAAAGCTCTGTTTTGTAAAGATGTCTAGCAAATGCCTCAGAGCTTCATCTGCTGCTGTTAGTTTCAACTCCTATCCCTGATTTTAGGTTGTTTTTACACGAATTTCATCTCTCCAGCTACGTACATAACATCACAACATGATTCTTTTAGTAAAAATACCCTAATCTCTTCAAATATCTCCCACAGCAGCTCAAAGTATATTATTCATTTGCTGGAGTTTGGAATGTTCTGCCAGCTGAGAATTTGAATCTATTCAGCAGAATGTAGTTTGTTTCAAACATTCTCTAAATATTCAAATATACTATGAAATGTCATTAATAAAAAATACCACAGGCTTGTGAAAAAGAAGAAAAGCAAGTTATTCAGATTGTGAATAACTGCTGTGAACTTTATCTGAAGAGATTTCTGCATGGGAAATGGTTTAACAAGTCAGAGGCTTTAAAGGACAGTGAAGGGATCTGCTCTGTTCTCCCATGGCATTTGTGTAAGTGGATATTCTGCTCTGGAGAACTAACTGGGTGTCTATAAGAAAGCAATGCAATTGTTTCTTACATTGTCTGTTGCCTAGTTAACATTTCTTGTATTGTTTATCACATTAATTTTTTCTGTCTGTTATTTTAATTGGGTAGCAATTTTTTGGGTTGGATGTTGAGTTTTTCAATATGTTTCTGCCAAGAGTAGTTTAACTTGGCCACTGTGGCCTTTGTGTTTGTCTCTCATTACTGATAGCAGTGTGTTGCTACTGATGAGGATAATTTTTTTTCTGGTGGGGCTGTCTTCAACTTTCTTTATGGTCAGTAGGAATTTGGAGGCATATGACTAGTTCCAGAATAAATGAAAATATTGCACAGAATTAGGGTGGAGTACTTGAATAACCTTATAGGCTAGAATACCAGAAAGATCAAGTTTTCAGCCTACAGAAATTCTTTATATAGTGTGCTCTGTGGCAAGAAGCACTGTGTCAGTAGGTGGAGAGGGGAAATGTTAGAACATTTGTTACATGCTGATTAATTGCTGTCAAGTGTTGCATTTAAAACAAGATCTGTGTTTTTTAAAAAAATCTGGTCTGGTAGTTTGACCACAGACAAAGCATGAGCAATGCCTGCAATTGCATGGGTATTGACATCCTAAAAACTCAGGGAGTGAGGAGCAGCCTTGAGGAATTCACAGAGTAAGAAGACATGAAAGGCTGAGTTTGGAAGGGACTCATTTTCCACATAATCTGAAATAAAGGATTAAGAAATGTTACTGGAACCACATATTATTTTTTTCAGCTGTCATACAATTGACATAGCTATATGCTATTTATATAGGAGCTAATTAAAGGCTTTCCAAAGTACTGCATGAAAAAATGGGGTCACACATTTTCCTTCCATACAGAAGATTTTTAGCACAGAAGACTGACACCTCCTGCATATTTCATGAATGTAGTTTCAGAAAACAATGTAGTCAGTGGGAACTTGCATGAAATATCCAGCAGAACTATTTTTCCTTTGCCTGGAAAGAAATTGGGCCCTTAGAAGAGGATTCATCTTGCCTATTTTCAGACATCTATATTTGAGATGTCTGCCTTGGGGTGAGATGAACTGAATGTGTGAAGGGAGTGTTTCTTTCTGCTGACTTTAAAAGCAGCATAACTGGCTGGCTCATGGACGGGTGGCTGCGTGTGCACAGGTGAATTTCACTCTGGAGATCTACAGTAAAATACAGTTCTCCTGCAGTGTGTGGAGGAAGAAGAAAACAGATGGGAGAGGAGACTTTTCAGTGGAGTGTTCTTTTCCTCCCAGTGTCACACAAATGGGATCCATCCACAGCAATAGATCTACCCATTGTGCAGCCATCCCAGTGACAGGACTCCCACAAAGACAGGAAAAGCAAAGCAGGGCAGATAGAAAAAGCCCTGAGCAATGGATATATTTCAGTTAAAGAAACTGTTGGTTATTTTCATGGGACAAGAATTCATCTCAGCCCTGTTAAAGAATGTTAAGAGCAAAATTTTTCATTTTGAGTATAAGAAAAAGAAGAACATTGTGTGTGATTCTTACAAAGCAGTAGAACTTACATATTTATATAGGAGGATAGAAGCACCTGGATTGCATCAATAGCTGTTTGAAAAGTACTATCAATAAAGAGATTTTTGAATGCATAAATTAACTCCCAATGGTGAAGTAAATGTGAGCAGATTATTAAAACAGACAAAAAGGAGTAGCTATTCCATGGCAAATCCTTTTATGTAAGCTGTGTGTCACTCAGTTACACCCTACTTGACTGGATAGACTTAAGGAATCAAATAAAAATTGCTGCTAAGAAATAAGTTTCCATTTCACTTAAAGAAGAAATTTGCTACAGACACATGAGATATTTATGCAGTTACTAAAAGTGTTAAATTTACCAGTTTTCAGGCCTTGAAGTGTAAATTATAAATATTGTAATTTCTCATCTGTAACACATACTATGCATTAGAGCACAGTCACATTTCAAATTAAAATCTGATACATCCCAGTGAGGACTTGGAGCTCTTTCTGTTCTGTTTCACAGACATGGTCAGAAATTTTTCTATAAAATCTTCAAATTGAAAAAGATGCCATTCAGACTAACAGATGAAAGAGGCATTTTAATTTCCAACTAAATAGCAATAATATTTGATTAATAATGATAAATAATAAATTAATTCAATATTTTTTAATCTATTGGTAAGAGACTTGAGGTACCATCCAGCTTTTCTGTAAGCTGCTAGTTTATATGTTACCCTCATCTCCAGGTATCTAAATGACATCTGACAGTTTATGTCCTAAATACCAGGTTGCCTAGCATTTTCCTGAAATTGCATAGATCCCACTGATTTCACTAAAAGCACTAAGACAAGTACACAGTACTTGTGCAAAAGGTCCTGCATCCAGTATATAAGAAAATTAAAATGAATAAAGACTGGCTATTTTTTTGGTAAGTGACTGTGAAAAATGAGAACAGTAATAGTATATGGGGCTGGGCTCTTTGTGTACTGCAGCACTCTGGTGATCTGTGTCAAACAGATGGGCAGTGCAGTCAGGCCTGCTTCTGCCCAAACCCTTATCTATACTTTTGCTTGTCTTTCTGCAAAAATTGTTCTTTCTATTCTGATTTTAAATTAAAGCTTGTAACAAGCCAAAGTTTTCTATGCTTTCTTTATCATAGGATTGTTGGCTGATTTCTCAGGTTGATTTGGGTTTAATTTTCTATCTTCTTTATTTGTGCTGATGTACTTGTGATAACACATTATATAGACCACTCAGGTAAGGCCTTCCATAAGCAAAGTTCACTGTCTTGATTCTGTCTGCAGTTCACAATCACTTGATAACTTTGATTTCTTTTGCATGCACGCAGTGTACATTGCATAATAAACTTAGAGGTTGGCATGTAATAGGTGATGCTTTCAGCTATTTCATTCAGTCTCCTGTTCCTAGGTGCTGTGGATGTAAAATGATAAACCATTTCATATGCAGCTATCAACTATCACAACTGTGGGGAAGAAATGGGATGTTTTCTAAAGGAATTTTCAGTTATTTGCTGTGCTCATATTCATTTTGTCTTTTTCCCTTTTATAAAGGTGTTGGAGATGGAGGAAATGAACTAGGAATGGGCAAAGTAAAAGATGCTGTAAAGAAGCACATAAAAAATGGAGATGTTATAGCTTGTGATGTTGAAGCTGATTTTACTATTGTAGCTGGTAAGGGATTTTTGGTGGGGTGGGACAGTAGCTGATGTTTGAGAATAGAACTGACAAGGAAACATTTGTCTTTCCAAGTAATTTTTACTGGCCCTTTCCAGGTCATCCTCAGCAAACTGATCTATCTCTGTATTATGTACATTTTCTGAAGAGTTAAGCACATGTTGCTTCAGAAGAACTGACTGAAAATTGAGAATGTTCCATGAACAAAGTGCACTTAATTGGAAATAGTTGGGAAAATCCTGAGTATTTTTGAAAGATCACATATTATATAAAATCACAGAACCATGGAATCCTAGAATGGTTTGGGTTGGAAGGGACCTTGAGGATCATCTAGTTCCTACTCCCCCTCCCATGGGCAGGAAGCCTTTCACTAGACCAGGTTACTCAATAGCAAATGTTAATAAGACTGTGGGAATTAAAATGTCTGTGCACATACAAATTTTCAGAATAATTGATAAACTTCTGTTTAGAGTGTGCCCCTATCAGGTACAAATTAGTCATATTGCCCCTTTACAAAGAGATAAGTTCTTTCAATAATCACTCAGGGGCAAACGTATGTTCTTAACGTTCTCGATGCTCAACAGAAGTTGAATGTTATAGTTAAAATTCCGTTTTACACCAGCATGAATAAAATCCACAGCGAGAGCGAGATGTTCAGCACAGAGCGGCTGGTGAGCGGGGTGGTCTGCGTAGTGCGGGGCTCGGGTTTCCGTTCTGCCCCGGTGCGTGGCACGAGCAGCGCCTCGTGCCCCGGCGCTCACCGCGCGCTCTCCGCAGGGGTCTCCAACTGGGGCGGCTACGCCGCGGCCTGCGCGCTGCACGTGCTGCGCCGCTGCCACAGCCACGGGCGCTACCTGCGCAGGGCGCTCGGCGTGCCGCGCTCGCCGTGCCGCCGCGCCGGGCTGCCCTCCGTGCGCAAGGTAACGGCGGGAACGGGCTGGGAATGGGCTGGGATGGGCTGGGGCTGGGGATGGGGCTGGGGCTGGGCTGGGGATGGGGATGGGGCTGCGCGCAGGGATGGAGGGGCCAGCGGCTGCCGAGTGCTGGCCAGGTCTGCGGGCACTTCTGGGGGTTCCTTGTGAAGGAGCAGCGCGCTGTCCTTAGACTGCTTCCACAAAGGATTCAGACAGAGTGCAAACACAAATCCTCCAGTATAAATGTGTTCATGTCTTGTAGCTTCAACAGTGCTACTATTTTATGGGCAATGAAAGAAATTCTTGGATTGAGATACAGTGATTAAAATTCCTGTTTGCTTCCTTAGTATCAGTCATGATTTTATAACCCTCTGTTGTGGTGTCCTTTAGATGTCTGCTTCCAAAATCAAAAGTCACTGTTCTCATGCCGTAGCCACTCCATACTTCTGATCTTTGAACCTTACTTCTGATCTTCCCCCTTTTCTAGTTTGCTAGAGTCTTTCTACAATTAGTTTTGAATGTTTCTAAATTAAAGGTGGAGAAAAACTTGTACAGGAATATTTTTAAATGTGTTTTGACTAATGCAGCTCTGTACAGTGTGATATTCTGGGAATGCAAAGGTTTCAGACTGAGAAAAAGGAAAATAAGTGAGAGGGGTGAGAAATGACTCTGATCTGTGCTCATCCTGCTGAGCACGTGCCTCTATTTTTAACTTGACAGTGGTTAAAAAAAAATCTGTCTACACACACACACACACCCACACACACCTTAATGATTAAGTTAATGATTAAGTAAGATTTGTTCCACAACTTTACAATAAATAAGGAGCTTCAAGATTTCAAGATTCAGCTTTTTTAGCAGAGATTTGGACAAACCCATTAAGTGTGTGACATCCAAGAATGCTAAGCAAAATGCAATCCATCTACCTTAGCTACTGTCCAAAACAAAGAAGTTTTTCTCCTGAGATGATGGGACATTCTGCATGAAATTCCAACAAAGCACCTTTACGTATTTTAGAGTAGATCTCACTAATTTTTTTTAAAATTCTTTCTATCTTAGTTTTTCATCTAAAGGTCATAAAACTGAAACTGATCCCAACACATGGCATAGCCATATAGCTTAACAAAGCTTTTCAACACAGTCTTTTTTATAAAACAGGTTAATTATTTTTCAGTTTTCAATGTTTTTTTCTAGTTGCATCTACTGGTTTTTGACCTTTAAATTAATGCATCCTAAAATGACTATGATCAAAATTCCTGGTAATGAGATACTGTAATTAAGTGTTGTATTGTGTACAGGAAAACCTTGTTTTTGTTTTACTAAGCTATACAGCTGGGAATATTAATGATTCAATAATGGGCTACTGAAAGTGCAATACTAAAATCTGCTGAGATAAAATTAATGGAAACAGTTTTGTGGAGGAGAGAAAATGACAGAATGTCTGACAAGAAAATATGATATCTTTAATTATAAATCACACAACAATGAACAGTGCAGAAGATTGAATACATTAGTATTCACATAGTCCATTAGTATAAAAAAAATCAGACCATTTATGTTTATATGGCTACTTTCTGCAAAATTCATCTTCATTTAATGCTATAATAATTACCCTAATGAGATAAAGAGCAACACCACACAGATCCATCTCGGTGTTTATATTTGTGATTGTAATTGGAAAGAGGACATTTGAAGGAGTCCCTCAGCACCAGACAGCTTTCTTATAATGTGTTTTGTTTTTCTTCAAAAAATGGCACTTCCATGAATGCTGTAGGTCGTAATTACTAAGTGAAGACTTCCCCTGCAACACCAACATTATTTCCCTTCAGGCTGGTGTTCAAGCAGTGTCAGGATGGCACTGCCAAACCCCAGGACTGCAGAGTTCTCCCTTCCCACTGAACAGCAAACTAAGATTGCTCTGAGTTCATGTGTGAGCCTTTCCACACAATGAGAGATGCTGCAAAGCATTTGTTCTGTGCTGAGAGCTGTGGGAACAGGAAACAACTGGACCTAAACAATCTCTTTACCTTTATCTTTGCTTACCTAATCATTTGATTATGGTATTGGCTTGGTTTTTCAGATGTTCGTAGTACTTTTACACCAAAGTGACTGTAATGAAATTAATTCATTCATGCATATCCAAATGTAGCTAGTGCTAAACGTACTACAGTCAACTCTGCATTTTATTGCATCTCACAAACAGGTTAATATATAAAGCATTTCTTCTTTTACTGAAGTCTTTATTAATGGCAACATATTAGCTGTATAGTGTTTTTTTAAATTATGAACTATAAGAATATTAATTATATTATTAATATATAGGTGTGACATTTTTAGTGTGCTTTATTAGTTTTGTCATTCATAAAGAAGCTTTCCCCCTTGAATAAAGCACAAACTAACAAGATATTTTTCTATTAATATGATTATTTTTTCCAGTTACCCACTCCCAACATAATTATTTACTAAAGAGAACGCTGTGGTCAAATTGCAGCCTGTACAGCTAAGGCAGCATGCTGTACATTGTGTTTGCTTATTACAAATGGAAGCTGTAGCATTTTATGGCAGGCCATGGTTTCTCAGGCATAGTTTTGTGGCATTAAGCAAGCAAACTTTTTTACCTCATATAAGCAGAGCAGAGAGCTCTACCATGTAAATATGTAGCACAAACTATTCATATTAGAGATTACATTTTGTGTATCCAATTTAAGTGTCTCCTTTGTGACAGGAGAGAACTCCTTTACCCTTTTGCATTTAGATACACTCAGTGCTAAGAGAAACCTCTGTTGTGCAGAAAGATCTGTTGTATATATTTGCATTTATGTATATGATCATTCACATGATATAAACTGATGTGCATGTGTAATTTTATTAACTATAAAGTAGCAAATTTTAAGCTACTAATGTATCCAGATAATTTCCTTAAATAGCTGTGTCACTGCTGACACCATGTAACTATGCATATTTTTCCTTTAGTAGAAAACCAGAGCCTCATTTAATTTTGTTACAGTTAAGAATTAGGATGATTTAGAAGGAAGTAAAAGACAGATCTTTAGAAAGTGCATTCACAGAGCAGGTTACAAAATTAAACTGAATTGATCACACAGGGCATGCTTTGCTTCATTCAGAAATTATTATATTGTGGCCATTTTACCATTAGGTAAAATACAACCATATTGTGTCTCAATTCAGATCCTCAGCTACTGTATTCTTTGTGGTTTAGAAGTGTTCCTAGAAAAAATGCTAACATTTGATAAGAGAAAATTAGATATTTTAATGTTACTTTTTTTTTTCATCATTCATGTGTCCAGGAGATAAAGAACTTCTGCTAGGTTGTTGTGTGGTAATGTCAAATATGAAGTGTTAAAACCTAGAGGGCTCTTTGTCAAGGACACTGGTAGGATTGTGGCAGTAGCAATTTGCATGGAAATGGAAATGGTACAGTAGACCAAGCCCAGAAAGGGCTTTCCTAGTAAAGAAAGAGAGGGAAAAATAGATAGATGAGTCTTACATAACCTATCACAGGATTGGCATAGAGAAACCTAACAAGTGACCAGGTTTTTAGTTTTCTTAGACTTTCATTAACAGAATTCAAGGAATAAATTCTCACTATAGTAAATGCTAAAAATTAGGAAGTTTTACTGTGTACATTTCATGGCAAATTAAAAGCAGTACAGTTTGTGCCAGACATACATTCACTTGAAAGCAGATCTTCAAATTTCACTGTTCCCTGTGGTTTTTTTCAGAGCTCATTTTATCCCATCTTTTCATCACACAATGCTAACTGGCCCATAGCTCACAAAAAATGATTTTGTTCCCTCTGTGTAATTTTACAGCTGAACTTGGAACACACTTTGTTATCTGCTTATATTAGTTAAGCAAGAACATAACTGTAGTTCTAAACAAAGCATATGCTACTTCGGAGCTTGCCAAGGAAGCACAATTTCCGAGGCTGTTTTTTCCCCACTCCTTCCCTAAGCAACCAGAATTCTCATAAAATCAATAATGAAAAGGGAAGAGAGGGCCAAAGGCACAGAGAGATCAGAGAAGCTGCAGGAAAGGATAGTGAGTGCAGCCCATCCAGGTGCCCTCTGTAACCTTTTTTCCTGGTGCACCCTCCTTCCCTTCTGTCTTTTTCTATAAAATTGCAGCTGCAGCCAGCTGCCTGGCTGGAGAAACCACAGATGGATGTTTGAGATACTTTGAGTGGAGGTTCCTCTGATTCTGATTTGTGCACTATAGGAACTTGAAACCAAGCAAAAAAATGATTTTTTCTGAATTGACTCTAATGTTCTGTTGGAGGCAGTGTGGGAAAAAATAATATTCAGTGGTTAAATAGCAGTCAAGATTTTAAACCATCTGACACTCCCTGCACTCCAGCTGCTAAACATATTCTTTGGGACAAGATAGTACTTGCAAGTTGATGGCAAAATAAATATGAAGGATATGTGCAGTCTCTCCCAGAATTAAAACAAAGATCTTGAGGACTGCCCTTGTCTGATTCAGAATTTAATTATACTCTGTTTCTTTGTTTTTCAAGGAAGAAAAGCTTCTGAAAACACTTGTGCAGCTCGGGGTCCGCAGTGGCAAAACTGCCAGTCTGGAGATGGAAGTGGATGGGCTGCCCTTCTACAGCACCCATTCACTTATGATCGAACAGCTGCTGCAGGAAGCACAGCAGTGACTGCTCCTAATGACTTCTGCAGGAAGGGTTGCTCCCATATCATTCCCTTATTTTTGAGGCTCTCTCAAGGCGTAAAAAATCAGGAAAAGATGACTTTTCATCTCTGGTGTCTTGACCACACACAGCCTTTCATTGTTTTCAGTACAACATCTCTGTGAAACAAGAAGAGGATATGATCCACTTGATTTACCTTTTTTTTCTGTAATTTTAATGGAAAATTGAATTTTGTAATTTTATAATTTTATAATGGAAAATGAATATTAAATGATATTATATAATAAGAGGTGATCTGGCTTTTACAAAAAAAAGCATGAAATTACAATGAGATATGACTGCACTGCTGTTCTTGTTTTACTAACCTCATAACTGCAACAGGAAGTAACTCTCATAGCAACTTAGATTTAAAAATACTTGTGGTGAGGAAAACAGCTACAGTAGAGAGGAAGATTCAAAACAAAACCTTCCTGTAGCCTCCCTCTAACACTGTGTTCTTATGGATAGTTTGTGGAAGTGTGAGGAGAGAAGGAGAAAATTTTAACTGAGCTAATGAAAATAAGGGCAGCATTCCACATCTTCTGTGTAAAGGGTTGGCTGTGCCATTACCCCCTGTCATATTAGTAATTTGCCACTTACGTATTTTGCCACTTTATGGATAATAAAGTTGTAGACATTTCAGAGTGTCCTGTTGTTACAAAGAAATTAATTGAATACAAAATAATTATTAAAAATTAATGATTAGAAATTAAAATATGATTAGAAAAGAATAAACATTTGCATTCAGTATGAAATAACATTATGTAAATAAACCTTTACATGATTCCTGCTGTAGAAGTTCAGCTCCTGACAAGACCAAGTGAAGTAACATTGAATTTTATCCCATAGGATTACTAACTCTGAAGCAGTACATGACAAATGGTTGTGAACTGTGCCCAGCTGTTGTCATTTAAAGCTGTAATTTTACCTTAACTGCAGGTGAGTGGCAGCACCACAGTGCTGCTGGCTGTCAGCCCTCCCAGCAGAGAGAGGAGGGTACATTTGAACCCCTGGAACACTGGTGCTTTACCTGTCATAAAATGGAAGTTGCTTTAGTTGGACTCCAGCAGCGAGCAACACTTTATATCTCTTTTCCTTCCTGGCAGGTGAGTTTTATTTTCCTTCTTTGATGCAAGACAAACAACTTTTTCCAAATGAGAAAAATAATTTCATGCCATGAACATTAATCTCCTGAAGTCCCTGAGGATACAGAGCCTTTAAAGATATAAAATAGTCGAACACATGACAGAAAAAAATCTTAATGCCAGACTTCTGCTAGACATTTAGGTTCATCAAAGATTCCAATCTTTATTTTCTAGATAGATCAGTCTTTTTTTTAGATACTTTTAGAAAAGTATCTTGGAAGTAAAACAGTTAGAAATATCTCCTTTAGAAGTCTCCAAACTCTCCAAACTATAATTATTAAGTAAAATACTTCATATGAATTATTGAACTTTTTTTCCAAAGCCAGTAACCCTGCAGGATGGCATATGTTCACTGCTGCACAGAACTCACAGAATGAAATTGGCATCATTTTAAAAGCAACTGATTTTATTCTCTCTGTGCTACTGACATGTTACACTAACAGGTGCAATGTATACTTCCAAGCACTAACTTTTGTTAGAAAATTTCATTTAGTAAGCTTTTACTCTTTTTTCGCCCTAAAATACAAGTCTTAACAATCAGTTTTCATTAAAGAATACAAAATATAATCATTTATTTCTCTTTTACTCAGGTTTGTGCTTTTAAAATGCCTTCTTGTGTGCAGTCCCAAGCATGGCATTTACTTCAACAGCATGTGCAGCATGTCTCTAGCAAGACATGCTTGAGACCTTAGCAAGCCCCTTGGGTGAATGTGTTTTGACTGAGATGGAAGGAAAAGCTCTGAGTGGGACTTACCTTCCTGCTGTATTGGTTACAGTTTGCAGCCTAAGCCAACCAGTCACAATACAGAAAGGATTGATAAAATATTGGCCTCAAGAAAAAAAAAAAGGGGGAAAAGAAGAAGAAAATCCCTCCTTTCTGTTCTGGGTTAGCAGGTTAAGTGCTGGGAACTGGAGCAGAATGCTGCACTGTGTTACACAAGTTTCCATCTGATTTTGAACTGCAGCAGCTGACCAAAGCTGACCACATCAAAGTTCCAACTCCAATGAGCCTTAATCCCTCAGATGACAATTCCATGTAGTACAGCATGCTCTGCATTCCAGTTGTCTAATTTAAACAGCGTGGGGAACTATAAAGAAGCAACACATAAACACAACAACAAATATTTAATCCTAGAACAAACCATGTGTGTCTTGCAGCCTGACAGATCCTGGGGGTCCCAGGGGTTGGTGCTTAACAATGTACAAGCTCAGCACTCCAGGGAGGGAGTCCCTGCCTTACAACCCCCTTGGAATACACTGCAGATGAGTTGAAAGATTAGGAGAAAATAAAGCTAAACAGTGCTAAGAGTCAGGAGAAAAAAATGCAGATGTAAGGTAATTAATCCAGCTGAGTGGTCAAAGTATAAAGAAATGTAAAATAATTAAACAAACCAAATGTTAACCTAAGCAAACGTAATCCTCTCATGGGACTGGGGACACGAATCATTTCTGCAAAAGGAGGGAGGAGAGGATCTGTAGTCTCCCAAATAGAAACTGTGTGCCAAAACTAAAGATAGTTATTTCAAACATGGTGTGAAAAAATATAAAAAGCAAATTATAAAAACATTCTTTATTAAACACATCCACTAACTATATCCAGTATTGCACTCTCAAGGTGGTTTCCGGAAAACTGTTAGAATATATTCCTTTTGGAATCTGATGACAAGCCAGGCTGTGTTACAATGACATATTCAGACAGCAGGAGTAGACCATCTGTCTAGACAATCTTTTGACTCAAAAGCAAACCAAAGAAACAAAACTGATTGTACTGCTGTAAGTTATCAGCTCTGGGTTGCAGAGAGGAGTTTCAAGGAAACACCAGAGAATTGAAAGGACAAGGCAATATTCACGGTGTAACAGCTCCAGGTAAAAGGAGGTGTGATAAGCAGATTGCAAAGAAGAATCACACAGGATTCATTAGCACAACAAAAAACCCTAAGAAACCTAGAGAGGAGATGGTGCTAGAGACAATACTGTGGAGCACAACTCCCAGGTATTTAAAAGCCATTATTCTCCACTTCTATATTTTGTTTCTGTCTAAACCAGGACACACATCATTCATACATCATATTTTTGCTACTGTATTTACTGAACAATGACCAAACCCTAAACTGTATTATCTGTGGGCAAAAATGCAGTTTAAACAGAATTTATTCAACAGTTTCCCTGACAAATGCATTGTTATTTAATTGCCTGCATGGTCTGTGCAGCACAAGATACACAAATTGCAAAGGACACAATCAAAACCTTAGCAAGGGGTAGTAAAATTTAGATGTAAATACACGTTCTTGAACATAGGGACTCAGAGAAGCACATGGGATCAAAGTGCCTCACTTACTGCCAACCTCTTGTTCTCTTTGGAGTCAACAAACCAAGCTATTGACACCCACTGGAGCCCAGTCTCCTACTTCCAGAAGTCTCTAGGAGCCTTACCATGAGGTCTAACAGTCTGAGGCTCAACAGTGAAATAGCAGCCTGAAGGTCTCAGCAGGTGCTGAGTTCCTTGTGCATGTTCTCCTGTAATGTCCCGCACTATCAGACTGATTGTTTTAGGAATCTGGTTCTGGTGTGGTCTCTGCAGGCTTTGAAACTTGCAGAAGGAGAAGTTATTTCAGAGAGTTACACAGATATTGCAGAAGTGTTTGTTGGGCGCTTTTTTTTTTTAAGTATATATGGGAATATTATTTTTTTTTTGTCTCTGACCTTTTCAACAGATGAAAACAGCTTGTAGAGAATTACTTTCTCTAGATGCTACAGGGGCAAACAGAAAGCAGCTAAAGATGAGTTCACCAGAACTACACACTGTGAGTACTGGCTTATTCCAGTCAGTGAAGTCATCAAGACAAACAGGTCTGAAGTGGCAGCACAGATATGTGATTATAACTGAACTGACTTAGCACAAACTTTCCTCACTATTGCCAGTCGTCCAAGACCTCTAGAAACAGCTTCAGTGCACAGAATTGCTCATAAGCCTTTGGGAGGTCACACTGTTGTAATACATGAAAAATTCAGACAGAGACACAAACACGGCTGTAGCTGCAGGTGTAGGATTATGGTCATTTTAATTAATGCTATAGGCTGTCTGCATTAGTTGTGAAGCAGTCCTTCATTCCAGCACCATCAAGTGGTATTTGTAATAACCCTGGTTGTTGTTCATGCTGTTTGTTGGGAGTTTCAGTTGTGTTTAGTGGATAGGATTCCTTCGTCTCAGTACTCAGATGGCCCAAGCATGTTAGACAAGAGTCTCTCATCTTGACAAAGTTCTGGTAAGTGCTTTCACTGGAAAAACAGTACAATACTGGGTCAGCAACACAGTTGAAAGTAGTTAACAGGAGAGAAATATGGTAAACATTAAATATCTTCTCAGCAAATGAGCAGTTGTTCTCCAACAAGCTACGAACTACAAGTAGGATGTGGTATGGTCCAAAGCAGACTAAAAATATGAAAACAGTGCTTGATACCAGTCTTTTAATTTGTATTTTCTTCTTCTTTTGGGTGCCAGGACTCTTGTGGACAACTCGTAAAATCCCACAGTAGGAGAAGACCAGCAGAAAGAAGGGGAAAAGGAAGCCAGCAGAGAAGCGATAGTAATTGACGTTGTGCTCCCATTTCTTGATGGGGTAATGCTCAAAGCACACCAAGTGGCTCTCAGCATCCATACTGATCTCCCCGTGTGTGAAGACAAGGCAGCATGTGATAATTTCTTTGGCCCAGATGATGATGCTCACAATGGCAGCAGCCTTCATGGTCCGAAAGCGCTGGAACCGAAAGGGGTGCACCACGGCCAGGTAGCGGTCGATGGAGATGCAGCACAGGAAGCCCACGCTGATGTAGATGTTCTCATACAGGATGATGCCACAGACTTTGCACAGCAGCTCGTCGTAGGTCCAGTTGTCGTGCTGTAAAGCATACTGAAGCCAAAAAGGCAAAGAAAATATGTACAGCAGGTCTGCTATTGTCAAATTGCAAAGGTAAATACCCAATTCATTTTTAGCTTTGATCTGTAAATACCCATAGTACAGTGACAGGCAGTTAGCTGGCAAGCCTAATATAAACACAAATATGTACACCACGGGGGATAATGCCTCGTGGATATCATGATTAATATTGCATTTCTCAGTCGCATTCTCTGTGAAATTCACCATCTTCTACTTCTCCCTGTGTATCACTCATCAGGGTGCTCAATGTAAGACTTAATTACATTCAGTTTTCATGTAGAGTTTGTTTCTTCCACAAACCCTTAGGCTGAAGTGATGACTTGCTGCAGGATGTTAATAACCTGAAGATAAACACAAGGAAATCTTTAGAAGGGATACAGTTCTTAAATATATAGTACACTTTTCAGAAAGCTGCCTTTTCCTAGCTCTAAGTCTTTGATAAAGACAAAGCCTCTCTGGGAAATCAAGGTTCACATAACTCCTAGTACGTAACAGAAAAGTGCCAGAAAATTATGTAATCCAGAATCACAAAAAAGTTACAAATATTTGTTGGTTTATCATTGGAGGTATCTAAAATATGATGAAATATCATCTCTGGTTTACAGATGGGGCAGAAAAGCAGTAATCAGATTTGTCTACAATGAAAAAGGTGTCTCTGATAAACCAGCAGCCCACACAGATTTCCTTAGAGGGTGTAGGATGCACAAAACTCTTGATTATTAATTTCTATTTCTTAAATTTCCTTTTATATACAAGATACCATGTAATATGCAGTTCAATTCAGCAGAACAAAAAACAAAGGGAATTTTTAGCACTCTGTCTTACAGTTACTTATAAAAACAATCCTGAAAGCAAGTTATCTTCCTCTGTTGGAAGGACATGGTGAAACTCTGATACAGTGCATCTCCATGGTCTCAGTTCTACAGGATGTGCTACTAAATATTCCTTATTTGCCATCAACTCCAAAACCCACACATTTATCATTTATACACTTGTATCTTTCCCTTTCATCTTCACTGAATATGACTGTAATTGTTTTCACCTGAAGAATCTGGTATAGTCCAAACACATACCCATAGAAGCCATTGCTATGGTATGCTCTACTGAGCTATACTGTAACAGTTTAATACACAAAAACCACTGCTGACAGTGGATTAGCACTCAGTGCTACTAGGTCAAACCTGGAGCCAGCTCACAGTGGTGAAACCCTCAACTAAACAATGAAATACCCCCTCCAGCATTTTGTCACCTCATGGTATATTCACGTGGGCACAGATGCTCATCCCTGGAGGACAGCAGGGCAAACTGTGCCTGGTCTGGAGGGAATGCTTGTTTAACCTGGTGGTGCAGAACAGCAAGACCGTATTTCTTTCAATCTCTCCGCAGAAGATTCAGGGATGTTGGGTCTACCTTTGTAAGGTAATGATGGTACTCCTGTGTACTCTTTCACAGCTTCAGATACTATGGGTTCAAAAGAAGCACTATCCAAAGATAAGGCCTTGCTGCTTTTTCCTGTTTGCTATGCTAATTTGCATTTTTGTCATCATCTTCTGTCCCATCTAGGAACATAAAATTTCTTCCAAGGCAATGCTTACAAAAACATGACCATGCTACAGTAAAATTACTGTCAGCTTTAGCATTTGAAGATGTTACTGTCAAATTATTTTAATACTTTTTTTTTAATAGGGATAGATAGGCTTTACTCCTGTAGAAACTGAAAAAAAAAATCACTTGCTTTAAGCCAGAAAATAATTGCCTGGCTGAAATAAGTGATAAAACCTGCAAAGAATTTAATTTTTTAGCTTCAACCAGCATAATTCCACAGAATTCACAGCAAGCACATACAAATAAAAATTGGGATGTGGTTTTCATCCCTTTACTTTTACTTTTGCTTTCCAACAGAGGGAACGTCATGCCTGGTTTTGGTAGAAATATCCTTGGGAGCTCAGAAACTTTCAGTCATGAAACAACAGGCCAAGGTAAGTTCATCTCCCTCAAAACTTTTAACTCCACTGTCCAATGCAATTTGTGTGAAAGACTGCTCAAGTCTGGCACTCTGCTCTCCTCCACCTCTCAGTCTCAACAGCTCCTTTGGGGTTTAAGAGACTCATGCTCTCCACTGTGGCTGTCAGAACAGTTATAGCTCATTTATCAAGCTCAGCAGGAGAAACGCTGAGGGGACCCAGTCACAGGTACCTGTGGTTCAGTTTGAAGTTTGCTCTAGCAGCTTGCCATAAACTTCCCGTGGAATAAATATGATAATGTTAGCAGTGCTGACATGTACAGCAGAAATCAATCACTAAAGTTATGTACAGAATTTCCCAAACACTGATACCTAGGGGCCATCAGCTCCTCTGTAACACTATGCAGTTTCTCCAAGGCTTCATAACCACCACATATCCCTTCCATCTGCAGACAAGGGCAGTGCACAGTATCTGTGCTGAGGCAGGTTTGATAACCTTGTTACCCCAAACCACTTTTTTAATCCAGAGCTCCAGGACTGAGTTTGTATTTCTGCATTTTCAGCATTTCTGTATAATGATTTTGTGACTTTTACATGTAAGGGTTTGCCTGAACAGGATGATTGGCACACCTTAGTTATTCTCTAAAATACCTAAAATCTGAGACCTGTCATCATATCTACCAGCACAATGCCCAGCCAGTGTCCAGCTCCTATTTGGTCAACAGGGCCAAATAGTAATCCAAAAGCTGTAGACAGTTTTGAAAATTCAGAGCTGTCTTTATATGTCTAGAACTGAGTTTCATTCGGTGTTATCCACTGAGTCATTATGGATCACATTTATGAGGAAAAGCAAATGTACTTTACAGCTGCAGTGTTTTTGAAAATGTTTCTTTTCCTCTAAGAACTCTAAATGTTTTTATCAAATTATGTTTTCATACAGAGAATATAATTCTCTGTAATAAGTAAAATCATTTCTGCTTAGTTTAAAAGTCTTGCCAGAATGCAGAATGTGAAGGAGGCAGCAAAAGTCTTATTGATACAATATTATGGTAATTTAATATACACTTATGATTACAGCAACATTTCCTGCTCCTGGAGGAAATGCTGGATTGGGGTGTTCGAAGGGGCAGGAAGAGAAGGTTGGCTGTAACAAATCTCTTTGCCTTGTGCTAAAAATCCCTCCCCAGTTTCAAAGATGGGGATGAAAAAGAAAGATCCAGATTCTTGTGCAATAGCTGTCTTATACTGCTGTTCTGGACAGTGGCAACAGTGAGCCAGGAAATCCTTCCCTTGTTTCAGCCTCCTCAGTGTGTGGGCTCTGGGCTGCCTTTGTACCCTTTGACCACTCATGCCTGGCTAAGGACAAACTCAGCAGCCACACGGAAATACAGAGGCAGTTCAACTTTTCCCCACCACCATGCACACTAAATATAGCTCTGCACCAGCCAGGGAGTGAAACTGTAGGAATTTTTCAACAAACCTGGTATCAAAGGACTGCACCAGCAGGTTTAAACAAATGGGTGTGGAAGAGCCCACTCTGTTGTTAAGAACATGTGATACAATACTTTACAAACTGTCTGAAAAAGTGGAACATGAAGGAAAGGTGATGCAGGGTATAGAAGAGAAAAGACAAATAGCTCCCCCATTACTTATTGGCTACTTCTAAAGAGAGACGAGAAAAATTTTTAAGTTTCTCTATGAAAAACATCTGGGGTGCAGACAACCATAAAGCTGAAAGCAGATATGAACAGGAACACACAGGCATTTCTTTTAGAGAGCTTTAATATGGATATAGTGCAGCTGTGTGACTTCTTATTTTTTTTATCATAGTTTATGTAACACCTTCAGTATCACGAATCTGCAGTCATTTCCAGGCAATATTTCTCTCTCCTATATGCCCACATTTTTTAGATGATACCCATCTAAGCCTAAGTCTTGGCAATATATTAGAAGACTCTCTCCACCTACATGAGCTCCAAACAATTCTCTTGTTCCTGGATTAAAAACAAAGGCAAGGATCCCAGAGCTTCAGAAAGCCTCACTTTTTCATGGTTTAAACAAGCCAACTTTAATACTCACTGGAGAGTTCAACAACAGTTCTTTTCCTTCCCAACTCCTGTGTGCCTTAGCTGTTAACAAACACATGACTTGCCCCTGCACCATGAACCATGGGCAGCTCACGTGTTAAGTGCTGCCTGCTGGCAATGGCACAGGAAGCAGCCAGAGCCACTGGCAGCAACAGCCTCTTCACCTTGGACCAAGCAGTAGCATGGAGCCCAGGGGGACCTTTTCAGTTTCAGTGACACTGCTACAATTTTCATTGTAAGAAACCTGTCTGCAACTAGGCCTACATTTTTTGGCAGAGACAAATGGGACTGAACCAAAGAATTTCCTTGCTGGAATTTGCAACCGTTGTGCACTCAGCTGGTCTCATCCACACAGCATCCCACCTCCATTAACAGGGAGTGTAGCAGGCTTGTGTGCCTGCACGGTCTCTTGCTATTTAATCTGTCCTTGCACCTGTCATACAGTGCAGACAGGCCTGAGTCACTTGGCTGTCATTGCAGGACTTCAACTGTCCTGCAAATCTTGGAATCAGAAATCCAGGGTGGTTTCAGTTTAGGATTTGGTGCAGGTCATTATCGACACAAACACCAGCCCTAAAATTCACATGCTAAGCTTCCTTCAACACTTGCAGGTTTGTCAGAATATTTGATCCTGTTTCACAAAGCCTGGAAGCATAAGGTCAGATAAGAAGGCAGGGAAGTGATGAGCAGCAGAAGAGACTAGGGACTGGTCAAACAACATAAAATAAGAAGGAAAGGCAGAGTAAGTTTGAGGGAAAAAAGTAGAAGAAAGCAGAAATTTGGGTGAACCACCAAGTATGAAGAAAGAGCACAATGATATTTGGGTTTAATCAGAAAGATTATGATGTAAAAGATGGATCTGTTGGAGCACAGAAACAAGACAAGAAGGGTGGAGCACTTCTACAAGGGAAGGATGAGAAAGTTGGAGTAGTTCAGCCTGGAGAGGAGAAGGCTTTGGGAGGACCTTGTTGCAGCCTTTCAGTACCTAAAGGGGACTTACAAGAAAGATGGGGACAGACTTTTTAATCAGGATTTGTACCAACAGGACAAGGGGCAATGGTTTTATACCACAAGAGGGTAGAGTCAGACTGCATACAAGGATGAATATTATTATGATGAGAGTGATAAAACACTAGCCCAGGTTACCCAGAGAGTTGATGGATGCCCCAACCCTGGAAACATTCAGGGTCAGGTTTGATGGGGCTCTGAGCAACCAGGTCTAGTTGAAGATGTCCCTGCTCATTGCAGGAGAGTTGGACTAGATGGCCTCTAAAGGCCCCTTCCAAACCAGACCATTCTGATTCTAGAAGGGTATCAAGTAGAAAGAGCCATTAAAGGCAATGAAAGATATTTCTAGTAACACAAAATAAGTAAAGGAAGAGAAAGACAAATACATATGAAGCACAAACATAAATATATATATATTTATTTTTATAATATAGAATTTAGATAATATAAATAATGTATAATAATTGTATCTATATTATGTATTATATAATCTATAACATATATATGTTATATACATTTATATAATATATAATATATAGTTTATATGGTATATAAGTATATTTATATTAAGATAGCTGAAATATTTGCGGTTGCTTTTTATTCCAATCTTTAGAACAAGAATTCTTAACCAGTGTCTAGCAAAATTATTTTTAACAATAGGATGGGGAATAGAGAATAGATCAGCAAAGGCTAACAGATATTTTAAAAAACTATGTGCACTCCAGAGGATTTAGTCGCAGCAATTTGTGTTTTATTGCTGGTAATGTTTCAGAAATTATGACAAATTGGGGTAAAACAGACATAACACTTTCTTTTGTGAAAAAGAGGAGTCAAACTGAGCTTCTGAACCAAAGTAATTTACATCTGTACAAAATCCATTCAGTGTTTGTAACTTGCAAGTGGATTTTTCTAATGTGAACATCTGACTACAATAATTATTACTCTGTATATCTGTTTCAGGTGAAGGGAACTGTAAAAATGTTCTGTATATTACAAATTACTTCTGTCATTATCAGATGACTTGTCTTATAAACCTATTGTCAAAGAAGGAAGTCAGCGACATTTTTTTCAGAAGCCACATAAACAAAAGACTAATTAGTCATCAATGTCCAATTTTTCCTAACACAGACATGCAATTTTTTACAGTCTAGAGAAAATCATTCCATTTTCTCCCTCTTTTGATATTTTGATAATTCCATGTTCTGTTTCTATACCTTTCCATGTCAGGTTTTTATGACTTTGGACTTCTTTGTTTATGCCTGCACTTATAAAGGACAACTTGAGATGAAGGGCAACGGAAACAGGTAGGATAATTAGTACAGTTAGTCCAATATGATAGAATCATAGAATAGTTTGTGGTGGAAGTGACCTTAAAAATCACCTAGTTCCAACCATGGGCAGGAACAGCTTCCCTAGACCAGGTTGCTCAAAGCCCTGTCCAGCTTGGCCTTGAACACTTGGGGATGGGGCATCCACAGCTTATCAGGGAAACCTCTTTCAGTGCCTCACCACCCTCACAGTAAAGAATTTCTTCTTCCTACTATCCAATCTATACCTACTCTCTTTTAGTTTGAAGCCATTCCCTCTGGTCCTATCACCACATGCCCTTGTAAAATGTCTTCCACCATCTTTCTTTTAGGCTCCCTCCAGGTACTGCAAGCCAGCAATTAGGTCACCCTGGAGCCCCCTCTTCTCCAGGCTGGGAAATCCCAATTCTCTCAGCCTTTCCTCACAGGAAAGGGTGCCCCATCCCTCTGATCGTCTTGGAGACCCTCCTCTGGACTTGGTCCAATAGGTCCACATCCTTCCTGTGCTGGGACCCCAGAGCTGGATGCAGCACTCCAGTGGGTCTCAACAGAGCAGAATGGAAGGGCAGAATCCCCTCCCTCACCCTGCTGATCATGCTGCTTTGGATGCAGCCCAGGATATGTTTGGCTCTCTGGGTTCCAAGTGTTCCTTTCCAACCTCTCATCCACCAGCACCCCCAAATCCTCCCCAGCAGAGCTTCTCTGACCTGTTCATTCCCCAGCCTATGTTGATACCAGGGGTTGCCCCAACCCCGGTGCAGCACTTTGCACTTGGTACTGTTAAACCTCATGAGATTCCCATGCATTCTTCTTGAGCTTGTCCAGGTCCCTCTGGATGGCATCCCATCCTTTGGGTGTGTCACTCCTCTCTTTGGTGTCATCTACAAATCTACAAATCTGCTGAGGCTGCACTCAATTCCTTTATTTATGTCATTAATGAAAATGCTAAATAAAACTGGTCCCAGTATGGATCTCTGAGGGATACCACTTGTCACTGAGGTCCTTTAGGACACTGAGCCATTGACCATGACCCTCTGCATGCAAGTGCTCCACCAATTACTTATGCACCTAACAGTCCACCCATCAAATCCATCTCTCTCCAATTTATAGAGAAGGTTGTTGTGGGGAACCATGTCAAGGCTCTACAGAAGTCCAGATAAATGACATCTGTGACCCTTCCCTTACCCACTGATGCAGTCACTCCATCATAGAGTGGAGCCATAGGCTGATGAGGCAGGACTTGCCCTTGGTAAAGCTCTGCTGGCTGTCCCAAATCACCTGTCCCTGATGTGCCTTAGCACAGTGTCTAGGTGGGTCTGTTCTGTGATCCTCCCCAGGCACAGAGGTGATGCTAACAGCTGGGTAGTACCCCAGGTCTGCCATTCTAGCCTTTTAAAAGATGGGTACAATGTTTCTGTTTTTCCAGTCACCTGGGACTTCTGACTGCCACAACTTCTCAGGGATCACAGACAGTACCTTGGCAAATACATGTTCCTGTTCCCTCAGACTACTCACTCTATCCACACTACCACTTATTCTTTATCTAGTATTAGGGCCTTTTTGCCTCACGTGAGGGCTAAACAACTGGTTGAGCACAAGAAAGTGCTGAAAAAAAAATCTTTGGAAAATCCCTATTTATGGTAATAAGTTCATGCAATGTGTAATTTCAGGCAAACAGTCCAAGTAGTATCAGGGAGGTGAATCACAGCTGAAATTAGTCATGCTATAGCTGCCTCAAAGCTTGAAAAAATGACCCTCATTTGCCCCCGACTTCCTGCTGTAAAAGATCAACCAAGTGGACAACATGACCCTCCAAGTATTTCACTGCTGAGTTACTGTGACTATATCCTACCCACAGGGCACATGTTGAAGCTTTGTGTAGGACTTGCTCATGGCCCTGGAGCCAATGAGTGTATTGAGTACAGAACAGTGGGTGGAGGAAAACACATCATACCACTTCCTGCAGACATCTTAAATCACTCTATTACTCAGAGAAAAAACTCCAAATCTTCCTTTCCCCTGAAATAAAACTTCAACCAAGTCAGTGTCTCTCCCTCTCCCTCACAATCCTTCTTGACACAAAAGACCAAAAAACCATCCCGTCTCTGTTGGAGAAGCAGCAGGCAAGTAATAATCAGTCACAGACAACAGAACTGCTTATAATTCCAAACGTGTACACTGATCCTCATTGAACAGGACAATGCAAGAAAAGCCAAGATTACACAGTCTTATTAGAAACCAAAAAGTCATGATCAACATACAATATTAGTAAGGAACAAGAACTAGAACAACTGTTGTACCCTAGGATTGAGATATAGGAACTTCACCCTTCTGAGTTAAATGAGCTCTGATTCATTTTACCATTTACAGCCTTGGGGAAAATCATCCTTCTGATTCATTTTCCTAAACTGTATTATTGCCTTTTTTGATGCTGCAGCCTGCTCTGACAACAGCACAGTGCTACATCAGGCAATGATATCTTGCACTGAAGTCAGTGACTTCAGCTTGAATTCATATCTGTATTGCATTTCAATGACTTTTGACTTTCTTGGATTGTCAGTGTGTCCCTGTAGCCCCAGGACTGCCACATAGCCCCTGTTTCACAGAGTGGCTACCCAAAGGGAGCCATGGGAGTCACCCACAGATGTCTCTGCAGCCTGAGTATGAGCCATCCATTCACATATCATGGGCCATAGCACACTGCCAGCACCCTGTCCTGGCCAGTGCACCCCATCCTGGGCAGAGCACCCCATCCTGGGCAGCACACACCAAGGCTGAGCAAAGAACTGGCTGTCAGCCTCTACCTTTGGCCAGGTGCTCATGCCCTGGAGCCAATGAGTGTATTGAGAACAACTTGCTCTGTACCCACATGCTCACGCAGAAAGGGAGTGAAATGCCAGCAACATGCATGGCAGTCCTTTCTGTCAAGCTTCCCCAGCTTCACTCAAGGGAAAACTTCTTCAAAAACTGACAAATTAGAGAATGAAGAGGGGGCCAGATTATCTTTCTGCTTGCATCTTTTGTAATGCCACTCTGAACCCAAGGACCAGCACATCATACCCTCCAAACAAAACTATCTCAGTAACTAAAAGTCATTTGGAAAGCAGCCAAACACCCATCTATACAATTTTTTTCTCCTTGTTTACTGATAATTCAACAGACAGGACTTATTGCACAGTGCTGCTGACAAGCTTGGGACATCCATAATCAATGCTTGACTAATAACACTTGACAATCAGCAAAGGCTGCCAAATAGAAAAATTTTGCTTGCTAGGTCTAACTGAAATGTGGCTGAAACTCTGGCATGTCTAAAGAGATTGAGCAGATCTCCCATTTAAGGAGAATGTTTGCATTTTCATTATTTCATGCATCAGCAAACAATGATACATTCCATAAAGTAATTTCTTTTTAAAATGCCATCTTCTGCATATATGATTCAGTATGTGATTCATTTTGTACTGTGGAAGTTTTAAGACATGGTAAAATGAAAAGCTGCTTACAATATTTGAAGACGTTTCCCTTCCAGTCCTCATTTTTCTTTGACTTAATTATTTTTCTTCTGTTTGGATTTATCTTAATCAAAGAGAATAAATTCATAATGGGATAGGAGCCCATTTAACTGGAGCATCTAACACTGTGTGCACTGCTGCCATTGTAAAAAACAAAAATCATTCTTTTGTGCCTTTGTACTATTTGTGTTTCCAGCTTACACTGCTCACCATTGTGCACATCAGACATGTTTCTGTTCTAGGTCTAATTCTTCTTAGTCTAGCACACCATCCGCCCTTCCACGCACTCCTGTTTAGCTATGCTCATTTCCTTTTAGGCTCAATTGAGTCTTTTTTTTGGCTCTTGTTCTATATTTCTGTATTTCTTCCTTAGATACAGAATTGGAGGGGTGGTGTGTGGAGTGCATTATGCATATGTATTTGTGCATGTCTTCAAATAGTTCCCATCTAGTTGGTAGAAACATAACTCTGCTAAACTATCCCTTGTTGCTATCTTTAATTAAATTTCTTCTCTTTTTTTCAGTTTCCCTTCTGGAGATTACCCAAGTTTCCTGTAGAACTGACTCAATATTCACATGGAAGACATGTTCCTCCATTGTTATTTCTCTGTGTTCTCACGAGAAGCAGTGTGCATTGCAGAAGGTTTTCCTCTGGCCTCTTTCCCTCGTTGCTGTTCTTGCTCCCTAGATGACTATTGAAAATGTCAGTCCTTTTTTTTTTTCCACTTGAGGGTACAGGACTCCAATAACCTAGTTCCCAGTGGATTAATCACTTTGAACAAAGCGCTGGAGTCTGTGTCTGCAGGTTTGCTTACATTACCATTTCCTGATTTTCCATTTCTGGATAAAAGAGGTTCAACACGAAAACTGAGAAAAATAGTGGGAGAGGCATGACCTCATAGAAATGCAAACCCCCCACACCCCCTTCTTTAATAGTATCAAAGAAGAAATTCACAGCAAAAGCAACAACCTTGCTGTAAACCATTCACACTTCCAAACATGCTTCTGACCAGAGAAAAGGGAGAGAATCAAATGCTTGTTATAGGGGAGTTCTGATGAACTCATGAGGAGATGGAAAAGCTGGCACAGGAGATGTGAGATTCCAAATTGAGAGCTGTTCAGAAATCCAGGTCCTGCTTTGGGATGGAGGTGTAAAACCAGCTCTGAAATTTGGACATATATTCAAATTCCAAATAATGATGTTCTGACATGATAGTCTCAGGGATTTTAGTTTAAGCCACTTGTAAATTTAAGACAATTGCTATTTTAAAAGCTATGTCTGAACAGTTCTTAAACATGGAGGATAAACCAGATACACCCTCTAATTAGATATGAGTAGACACTAAATCATTATCCATCACAGAGTATAAGCTCTCCTTCCTTGGCAGAAGGAAGATGAAATGTTTCCAGGTATAAAATGAAAACATTCTAATGGTTACTAAAATACTGAGTTAAAAGCAAGCCAAACCAGAGATCTCTGAAATATTTCCATTCTTCCCTACTAATATTTTAGCATTTTATTCAGGTATTATTAAAGTGACTGAACTTTGATAGTTCAATTACATTTGCTTTTGTAATTAATTCGTTATTATCTCCCCTTCCTCTGTTGGCAACTCAACCTCTCTTCAAAGCTTTGTGTCTTTACTGCTGGCCCATAGGACACAACAAGAGAAAGGAAGCTTGAGACCTTGCTGAATAAAGCAATAATGTTCAGAAGGGAAAGTCCAGGCTCATCCTAGCAGCAATGGCTCTCTGTAGCAATACCTGAGTGGAGAATGGCAGGAGGACAGCTCCTGTGGAGCAACAGGAACAGCAGCAGAGTGCCCTCTCTGTTACATGTAGGTCAGATCAGTTTTGCATTTTTGATTCTGGCATGGTGACAGATCTGAGCCTAAGCAATCCCAGATCAAACTCCAAGACTGTTGGGAAGGATGAAAGTTTGACAAGAAAGTCTCACAGATATGTATGCTTAGCAGAAAGATTTTTGAACGTAGAAGCTGAGGAAGGAATAGAGATGGAAGCAAATTTTGATATAGAAGAAAAAAATTGCTGAGCCAGTCTTACTGGATAACCAAGGAGGCAAATGGTATGTTAGTTAGAAGGGGGTTTTTATGACTTAGAGCAAAAGATAAACCCACCTCCAACAAGAAGATGAGGTCAGATCAGTTTTGCGTTTTTATTTTATTCTGGCATGGTGACAGATCTGAGCCTAAGCAATCCCAGATCAAACTCCAAGACTGTTGGGAAGGATGAAAGTTTGACAAGAAAGTCTCACAGATATGTATGCTTAGCAGAAAGATTTTTGAACGTAGAAGCTGAGGAAGGAATAGAGATGGAAGCAAATTTTGATATAGAAGAAAAAAATTGCTGAGCCAGTCTTACTGGATAACCAAGGAGGCAAATGGTATGTTAGTTAGAAGGGGGTTTTTATGACTTAGAGCAAAAGATAAACCCACCTCCAACAAGAAGATGTTTTACCGTGCAGAAAGATAGCACAGGCAAACAAGTCAGCAAATGTTGCAAGTAGAAAAAAGGTCTCAGAATTTTCCACTACAAGAAAACTGAAAAACAACTTCTAGCTTAAACTGTAATGTACTAACTTTTAGTGATTGGAGAATAGTAACATGAATATGGTAATTATAGTAGTTGTGATAGGCTATAGATAAAAGTTAAGGTATAGATTGGTTCTACTGTACTAAGATGCTCAGTAAAGAAAAGTATATAATGCATTTGTAACCTAAACTCAGGCTCTCCAGGCCCGCCTGCAGATGCAGCTGACAGCTGTAGGTGCAGGCTCTGTCGCCTACGACCCTGGACTGCTGTAACACCTTGGATGTAATAAACTGCATTTGGAAGAGCCGCCTGGAGTCCCGCATCTCTCATTCAGGCTCTTACACAAGACAACCCAGCTAGAAGGAATTTCGTTGCCACAGAAACAATTTCTGGCAAGAGGGCTCCATGGAGAGGAACAGAGCATGTACTTTCAGGTGAGTCTGTTTCTCACTCTCCCTCTAACAGGGTTTTAAACCTATTGTTTTCACTTTTTCAGAAAAATTAGCTACAGCTTCCAGACAAAGTGCCTAAAAAGCTCTTGTTTTCCTACCCTATTAGCAGAGTTCAGAATGGTGTTTCTAGTGGAGAAAAAGTGTTACAGTGGATGTATCCCTTAGAGAATAAACTGTAATGTTTTTCTTAGCTGCTCTTGCTTACTAATACGTTTAGTTAAAATTATTGGTCAGTTTCTTCTAAACATTAAAGCTGTTCTGTGTCTTTTCAAAAACAATTGCCACCAGCTGTCAGGGTCAGCAGCTCTGCAAATGCTTCAGCTGGCAGAATAATTCATAACAAGCAATAAAAGCACTCAGAATAAGCTTTATAGGAAAACTAAACATATTAGAGGAGACAAACAGCTAGTTATAAGGTAATGAGCCTCACAAGGCTGCCATGTCTGGAGTTCTCTTTCCACAGTTCTTCCCTTACAAATAATTACCATGTTGTGTAAATGTCCTTGTGAGTGGACATAACTTCCTTTAGTTACCACCACACTGGCACAATACAGCCATCACCAGTGAAGCCCCAGGGCACCAAGAATGCACCCTCAGGTCAGGACTAGAAAAATTGGAAGGGAAGAAATTTTCTTCTCCATGCACTGTTCACTGGGATGCCATGAAAACTCACATTTAGTGCATCAGCTGGTTAACCTGAGCGACACCATCCACAAGGCTGGTAAGGTGAGGAAAGTTTACTTTAATGCCCTCAACTTTGAACACCTGGTCCTGTGCAGCTGTGCTCAGCCACAGGTAAGAGGCTTCCTGCCTGTCTGAGCTCACAAGCAGCCTCAGGCTCACCCTAGTCAGTGACATCTAGTACAATGACACCTGTGTACACCTAGCTCTGCAGAGACTCACTTCCCTCCCTTCTCTTCCCTTTCCCCATATCCCACTTCTCTCTTTTCCTGCTGCTATTAGATTGCTTACAGTCCTCAGATCCAGAGCAAAGAGAGTCAATTTTTGTCCACCAACCACAAAGTGAAATAAATTCCTCTCACTCAAGGTGTCAAGTGAAACAATTTTTTAATGAGATATTGGAACCACCAAATCTTTCTTCATTTAAAACTGTGATATTCAAATCACAGTGCTGTGATGTAAACATTGTCACCTCTGCTGTCACAGAACAACATACTTGTCTGATCCTATAAACCCAACATTTTCTTACAGTATTCTTCCTAGACCCTGTAAAGACTTTTAAAACTTTGGGGATGTACTTTCCATGTTATCATCTCTCCTACAGTTGTATAGCACTGAATGTTAAATAAACTGGAAATGGCATTCTTCTGCCTCTTTGCTCATGTAACAGAAAGGCTTTACAAGTGCCTGTGCAGGAGCAGCCTGGTATGGGGGAACAACACACAGCAGCAGCAAGACGGGGAGGCAGAAAGGATAGGGGCGAGGACAGTAGAAAATTTTGTTTCTTCAAAGAAGAAATGAAAGAGTGGGTGTTAAATACACATGATTGACTACCTTTCACTGGCTTCTTGATTAAAGAAAACTTAAAAGAGGAAGTGGTTAGACACTCTGCTCTTCTGGGACTAGTGTGAATGCAGGGTGCTAGTGTGGAAAAAGTCACAGTGGGTACTGACTAAGATACTGCTCAGAAAGTCCCATAATGCTCACAGTGACACTGTCACATCTTATGAGCCAACATGTAGCCATTTTTACTTACTTTACTGTTAAGTTCCCTTATATTTTTATTAATAAATATCTGCATGTGTTTTGAACAGGACAGGACAAGGTGTTATATTCTTCTAAACTCTCTATTTCTTAGCTTTCCTCCCCATGCAACACACAAAAGAAGAAAGCATCAGTCAGTGAATTGCTTTTTTTTTTCTTTAAAAAGACTTACAAGCACATGAAAAATGTTCTCATAACAAGGACAAGCTACAATAACGAACAAGTTATTTATCCTACTGAAAAAAATTACTTTCTCACCTGATGGATTTCACTTCTCTAAACAAGCCCTCACATTTCAAGTTTTCCAAGCCAGATTCTGAACAGCAGGAAGAAAAGTGGCTTGGTGTTTGGAAAATATAGTAATGACATACATTTGAGTTACAAAGACAAAACTATATAGGTGTACACAGAGCACCCACACATCAAGGTATGTGGTTTAACAATTTCATGTTAGGTGTAACTTTTGGTTTGTGGTCTCAGGAGAAATAAAGTCACTTGCTAGTCTTCAAAATATCTTGTATCTACTCAACTCATACAGTACTAGTAAATGCTCTGAAAATTACTCCAGGAACTTATCTACAGGCCACTGCTCTGATTGCTTGCTGCAAACAACAAACAGTTTCTCAGTTTATCTTAACAATTTCCTTTCATCAATACAACTTGAACATTCAGCTTTCCTTGTGCCTAATTGGAACTCAAGAAATTTTTTTTGGGGAAAACCTTTATTCAAAGTTCCTGTTAGTAAGAATTTTGCCAAGGAAATTAATTTTGAAGTTGTGAATTTTTTTGGACATGTTGCTTTGATTGAGTCCTTGGAGTACCTCGTTGTTTTGTTTTAACAACTCAGCTAGAAAAATGTCTCACCACCTCTCCAGGAGTGAGACCCGCTCAGTGATGGAAAATTAACTTGCTTTCAAGAATGAATAGATAAAAATGAAACTCACCTGTTAGCAGAGTCTATGCAAAGTGAAGAGCACAAAACTTCCCTTCTCCTCACTCCTGCTCAGGCTGCTGGTGAAGCTTGTCCTCCTCCCAGCTGTGAGCAAGCCTGTCCGTGAAACAGCGCAGGAAAGGAGGAGGAGATTGTGTTTCAGCTCCTGTGCTCTTTATGGTTCATCTGTGAAGGAGTCAGCCCAGCCCAGCCCTCTCCTCCCTCACCCACTCATTCATAAGAGAGAGAGATGAGAGTGCCAAGAGCAGGCACTGAATACAGAGATTGCAAAGTACACGGGGTGGTGTTCCCAGCCGTCCCCACCGGCACACACACTGACCCGCAGAGAACTGCACTCTGATCACAGCAGCTGGTGCAGAGGCCAAATCCAGCTGCTTCCAGCTTATCTAAACACACACAGATGTTGCCTCATGCAGGCGTATTGAAAAGTATACAGAGTGTTAGTGTTGTTATTAGTATCATTTACAGTAAATTGTTTCTAGAGCTCGAGGAGGTCAGACCATTAAATCCAAACACAGCAGAAGGTGATCACTGCACAAGGAAGCATCTTCCCTCGCTGTGAAAGAGCAAGGACTGTGAGGGAGGGCAGTGCCTTCCTTTCTTGTCTGTGCAGCCAGACAGACTGCAAAGGCATAAACAGATTGAAGGGCTTGCCCAAGGCCATCCAGGAAGGGTGTAGCAGATGAAAAAGCTGACCTCCTGCTAACTCACACCCCTACTCCCACAGGAGTGAAAGCTGCACTGTGGGATACGTTTAAATTGTCTCACTCAAATTGAAACACACTACTTTTAAAAACACAGATAAATACAAATTACACCATTGAAGCTGGAAATAAAAGCTGTTACCAGCTCGGGCTCTAAATTGGTGCGTAACTTACCTGATGCAGTGGTCTGCCATGCAGCTGTAGGGACACCAGTGGCACTGCATGGTCAGAGCAGCACCCAACCAGAGCTCCCTTCTGCTCACTGCAATGGGCAACAGTGCTCTGAGGACAGCCAGACACAGTGAGTCTGGAAACAGGAATCCTGTGCAGGGAACTCCAAGATGTCTTGTTCGTTTCCAACCTAGTGGAAAGCAGAGTGACATAAGCACAGAAAAAAATTAGAAAAAATTAACCAAAACAGGAAGAAGACACAAGAATATTTAGAAAACTTGGAAATACTCCAGGAGTACCCATGGCTAACACCAGAAACAGTATCAAAAATAACTCTGCAATCCAAACACAGGCAAAGGGCTCTTCAGGTACAACAGGCTCCCAAACAGCAGAACCCTTCCTCTGGCAGGGCTTCTGGCAGATCAGAGATCTAAAATTATCTGCAGGGTTAAGAAACGTCTCTGAGTTTCTGAGGAGGGAAGCAACAAAAGAAAATAGGAAGTTCTTTGACACGGTCATGAAAGGCTGCAGCAAGCAGAGAACTGTCCTTTGCAGGCTCACCGTGCTGCTTGGAGGATGTCAGAGGTCAGGCAGCACACCTGGCTGAACAGGCAAGGCACAGCCTCCTGGAAGCACAGCCAGAGGCTGAACACCCTCTGCAGTATTAAGAAATATGAATGGTTGGTGTCAATTTTATTAGGACTACTGGGAATACTTCCTCTTCTGATTATTTATTGTTGTTGTTCGTGGTTTAAATTTTTTTTTTACTCATTTAATCTTTATTACTTATTTTTAAATACATATATAACATTTATTAAGAAAATCACCCAGACTGGAACCTTTCAGGGAGTGAAATAAAACATTTGTTTCAACACTTCTTAATCCAAAGTTATGTACCCTTGGATACTGCAACACTTTTATTGAAGAATTTATAAAAGATGGTATTAAGAAAAAGAAATGCAGTAACTTCCTTAGAAGTATGTGCACTGTTCCTGAGTAAAAAGCAACAGGGCATTATACTGGGCTGTTGCCTTCCCTGAGAGACTGTCTAGGGCAGAGACCATGTGGTAGCCAGTTCTCACTGGGGCTGCAGGGAAAGAATCCCACCTTCTGCAGGGTCCAGGCTGCAGGTAAGGAAGAAGCCCTGAGAAGACCCACAGACAGTGATTACCCTTTGGGTGACAGGGAAAGCAGAGCTACTGGCAGAGGTAACACTGTGGGCAGTATCTCTTTCCTGGTTCCCACCTTGGCTGCAGTTGTCCTGTCATGCTGATGTGTGTACATGCTCAAAGATGTGTTACACCAATGCTGGATACAGGTGGGCGGAATATCCAGAAAGCACTGCCTGGACCTTGCTCATCAGACACAATACAGGTCTACCAGAGCAGGCTAAAAGGCAGCACTGACCCATGCAGCTATGAGATTACACCTTGTAAGTGGAGCAGAAACAATGACTTCCACAAACCTCCCTCTCAGAAAATTCAGAGGAAAATAAACTCCAGAAAAATCCTGGGTTTGTTTCTTTTTCGTCCAGACATTCTATTTTCTTTGTCTCAGCATGCAGATGCTGTAAAGCAGGTAACTAAAATAATGGGATTTAGGGGCTTGGGCCATCTGCCCTCATAACTTCCAAGGATGCAGAGCCATGTGTTGCAACCTCCATCACACACAGTCACTGCGTGCTGGCAATATTTAAAACTCTCAAAATGAAAAGAAATAACATTTTTTGTAGCCTTTTCTGTCCATGAATTATACAGTAGTTTTGAAAGCTGACAAACAGCTATTACTCACTGCAAGCAGCAATTCTAGCTTTTCACTCGCTTTGGTCAAATCATTTTAATGTTTGTGATGATTAAGTAACACTTTTGAATTGAATTGCTCCTGGCTTGTGTATGTCAAAACCAGAAGAAGCTAGATTAAAAAAGAATGGAGCTTAACTGGTTTTATAAATGTCACAGATGCCATAGAAATGCAGCAGGAAGGAGGTAACCTAGACCATTTCCTTACCCATTGAGGAAAGCTAGACTAGCTCCTCTAGAGCTTCAGATTCTCTTAAATTGCCATTAAGGAAGAGTCTGCCTCACCTCTTGCAATGTCTCCATACCATGGTTAGGGCTGTTCTTAAGAAGCTTGCACTAATATAAAAATATTTACTTTCCATGTTTCCAATTAATTTATGTCGTTATTGCCCTTCTGTGAATGTACATGAAAAACAGACTATTGCTACCTTTCTCAGTATCAATCATTTAAATGTCTGAGGATTAATCATGCTGTCCCTCTTAGATTTTTGCAGATTAAGCAACCCCACTTTTCCAGTGTTTTTTGTAGATAATATTTTCCAGGCCTCTGCTCACCCACACTGGTCTCATTTCCAGTCACCAGCATCTCTCCTTAAGCACATTCCAGCAGAGGCCCTTTCTGGCAATGTTGGCATTAATTCCAAGTACCTGATCTATGCCTTGCCTGTGAAGGTCAACTTTCTGATGAAATTTGATTTAAGTTCTGTCAAGCACCCATTTTGGTGAGGAAAAGAGGAAGACAAGTAAGTTCTCTCTTTTGCAGACAAGCCACAGAGACATTCCCATTTTGTACAGCTGAGTAACAAGAACTTGCTAATGCTCTTCCTGCTGCTACCCTAGAGTCCCTGCCAGGCCAGCTCTTACACTGCCTGGTGGAGTGGCTGTGCAACAGAACACTTCACTTGTTCCAGAGGTTTCACTGCAGCCAGGCATCTTGCTTTATCCAGCTGTTCTCCTCCTATTTTCCTTTGCTTCTGCTCCTGTTCCCATCTGCACTGCACCATGTGGTATTTTTAACCTTTCCTACAAGTTAGAAGGGCAACAGGTTGTTCACAGGAACATGTGAACTTCCAGCACGAAGGTTTCTCTGTCCTCGCTGGTGGTGTTTTCCAAGCTCCTTCAAAATTTAAAATCAAAAGCACTCAAAATGTCCTACTTTTGCTCACCTCAGTGGAGGCAGGAACCTGGAAGAGCAGCAAGGACTCAGTAAGCTAGGCAGCAACAGCAAACCATCCCCACAGAGCTGGGTTTTTTTGCCAGATAACATATGCCTCTCTAACTCTTTCCTGAGGCAGAAAACATGTTTAATTTACACTGAAAATGCAATTTAACAATCTTTTGCACCTAGACTGCAAATGTCCAACATAGAGACTCCATTTTACACACTAGAAATGGCTTCATAGGGGTGAACTTGGCAACCAAGTAATACCAAGTGTGGTGGCTACATGTGGATTACCAGCCATCACCTGCAGAGGGTTAAGGATCAGCTGGCCTGTCCTAGAGTGCTCTGTGGTACAGCTGCAAGCACCCAGTTCTTCCCTTTGCATATAAAGGCAGAAAGGCCTCACTCTTACAGAGGAGTGAAGAATGAGGTGGTATGAGCATCACACAGCTATCCAGGAGCTTTGCCCATTTCTGTTGACAACACTGAACAGTGCAGACACAAAGGAAGTGGAGAATGTAGAAATTTCTATGCCAAGATTATCAGAATTAATAAAAAAGTCAAAATCTCGACGTCAAGGGCAGTGAAATTATCAGTAGCCATTACAGCTACTCTAGAATCCAGGCTAAAATACCTCTGCTCTTGTTATCTACAGAACAGACTGAATTAATTCTTCCCAATTATGATGCCCCTAGAGACACTGGCTTTGTTTACAAGGACCCATGGATGATTGTGGATGTGTTGATACACTATAAATGTATGCATGAACTTCCATTCAGCTATGGAAAAGAAGGCTGGCCACAGGTAAGTGGAGTCCATCAAGAGGGACAGCCATGTGGACTTGATCTCCTGTGCTGCTCCTCTTCCCCCTGTTAACAGGGATTTGGGAATTTTAGCTTGAGAAGAACTGTAGTCATAAGGTAGCCCATACACCAGTGCCCCAGTGTGGTGAGGAAGATGGGCCTAAATGCCCTTGAACCAATACTTCAAGGACAAATAGTCCCCAATCTTCTATCGAAGCATGAATGTTCATAGTTCCTCAGATAATGGTGTTTGCCATAAAACACTGCTACAGACATCACGCTAAAAACAATAGACAGGGGTCACTGAGTTCACTTTTTGCTTTCCTTCTCACATTCAGTTTTAGACTCCCCTCTAAGTATATTGCCCTTTTCCAGATAAACCCCATTAAACAGGTGTTACCTGAGTTTAACATGTGAAGGGAACATTTCTTCTGATTTTACTTATAAAAATTTGTGTGGATGAAATTTGATACAATAAAGTCTTGTTGGTATCTGTTTTCATTGATTTGCCTGATTACATAAGGAGAGAACAAGCACATGTTCGTGGGCAGGGTGGGAATTCAGGATCTGCCAAATGGGACTCTGTTACCATTGATATGGCTGCTTAAATAAACAAGGAAAAGAATCTGTGTTCACGGGAGCTAAATGTAGGTAATAGAACTGGGCTTCAGGAATTCCAAGTTTTTTTCAATTAAAGAAGCCAAAATAAGCAAGGAAGGAAATTCTGAAACAATGAAAATGATGTGGAAACTTGCACTGTTAAAAATACTGAAGACTAAATAGAAACAATATTGCCTCAATATGCAAACAGTGACATGGATCTTCTTAAATGCATCATCCTATGAGTAGTTTTAAGTGTTAGGTAGTTCCCACAAAGAATAAAGGTAATACTCTGGGGTGAAGAACAGAAAGATGTCTAGTGCTGGCAAGGAGAAGTCACAAAGGAAGGAAATTTGCAGGAAATGAAATAGGCTTGGCCAGACTGTAGCTGGTTGCACTATCTAAGCTGTAGGACAGGATCTAGCAAGAAGGCTCCTTCAAACACTTCATGCAAAAAATTTTCTACCAATACACCACATGGTTGCTGTTGGAAGAAGTAGTTTTAAGAGCACACCAAAACACTAAAAATATACTGCTCCCCATCAAACATACATAACCCCACCTCCTTTAAGCCTCAGCTACCCAGGAGCAAGATGCCACTGTGTGGAAACACAAGACAAAACAGCAATAGCAGAGGGATCCTCCTGCCAGTGGAGGTACCAGAGCTGTGCTCTGGAGTGCACACAACGGTTCCCTCACTGGATGCTGCTTTAAACCTTTTGTGCTCTAACTGATCTAAAGCTACTCTGCATGGAGAAGGAACAAGTGTCTCAGAAAGCTGGGAGGCATGATGGAAACAGAGTACATAAACTGTACAGTCCTGATTACACCATGCTGTTAATGCAGCTTCCTAAAATATTCTACCCTTTTACAGCGTTTACTGAAGGACCAAAAATGCTGTGAGCAAGCTCAAGAGACTGAACTAATTGAAAGTTACCAACTTCAGCTTAATTTTAGTTAAACCCCAACTAAATTGACAAAAGGTCTGTCCCATACAGTTTGTGCCTGCCTGTTTTCTCCATCTGCCTTTTCACAGAATCACAGAATATACTGGATTGGAAGAGACTCATAAGGAATTGAGTCCAATTCCCTGCTCCTTGCAGGACTATCTAACACTCAGTCACATGACTAAGAGCATCATCCGGATGCTCCTTGAACTCTAACAGGCTTTTACACTCCAGGGAGCAAGCAGTCCTTGTTCAGAAGATTGCAGGTGTAAAAAAAGGTCCAAAGATTTTTTCTTCACATAAATTTCCCTGATTTACATGATTTCTTCTACTTTCACTTATAGCCATAAAGGTCCTACAGGGGCACTGAAACTGACTGGGAGTTTTGCACCTTGTAGAAGGCTGAGATACTGCAGCTGAACACCCCCTGCAGCTCTAAAACACACTTATCTCTGGATTAGGTATTTTGTAGGCTCACAGTGCACAAAAATGCAAGTCCAGGTTCTGCATAACTAGAGAAAAAAAAAATTATCTTGCAAAGGTGTAAGGAAGAAATGTTTCATGTGTTTAATAAGAAAGGGATAATTTTGTTTAGGGAACATAGGCTTCCAAATCACATAACCTTCAAAATACCCTGCCAAATGGTAAAACAATCACAGTAGTAGCCCTGTGCAACACTCACCTCAGCTCTTCAGACATACTTTTCCACTTCCAGAAAACTCCCTCTTCCCTCCAATGCAAGTCTCTAGAGATGCCTCAGCAGTCCACTGGCAAGTTGTGCTTCTCCATCTGGAATAGCCTTCTCAAATTCTCATGTTCTTCCTTAACAGCATGTTCCCAAACAAAAACTGTGCTTTTCTTGCCATTAGCGCATCTTGCACTTCCAGACCGCTCAACAACTGCAAAAGTGAGGTGATCTTTGACTTGTAAATTTCAGGGTTTTTTACATGGAGAGGATGCTTTCTGTTCCAAGTGTGGAATCCAAAGGCAGCCAGCACGTGATATTGGAGAGGAAGCAGGAGGATTTTATACTTTTATCTGATGATGTTTTCTTAAAGCAGAGGCCGTTAAGCTCTCCCATTAACCCTCTTACATCATAAATCAAAACCATTATAACACCATGATATTCTATTAATCTGTTTCATTTCATTAGAGCTTGGTGCAATGAGTCTCACCAACAGCTTCATTTTCCCTTTCCTAAGCACTCTCTCCTTGAGCAGAGTTTCAGATCACACCATAGGGTGTCACTGCAGAGGGAGCTGGGCTGCTTTTGTTTTCCCTCATGCAACACCACGGGCTGGTGTCGGTGCTCAGATCTGCTGCTCTTTTTCATTCTGGTATGCAACACACACATCACACACTGGCACGGTTTCACCATCAGAGCTCCATAATCCTCAGTTATGATAATCTTTGGATAAAAATGTTCAAGTATTTTAACTAGAACTGATTAGAACATCTGGGAATGATGAGCTGACAGTTTCCGTGGCATCCTGTGTTATGTTTTGGACGTGTTTTACATTCCCAGTTTCTGTGGAATAACCACATTTTCATCATCCTGTTCCCAGGAGAAAACCAGTTTTGCTTCCCTACCATGACATCCTAACCCCCACAAGAGTCAATACATAAACTGTCTCTTCCACGTTTCAGCTGAGAGAAGCACAAGCACTCTTCCACTGGGCTCCTTACTCATCCATGTTACCCTTTAATGGGATTCCTCACAATCCTTCAAACCTGCACTAACCTCAGCTTTCTGCCACACTTCACCAAGGCACATTTCTGTCTTTAGGACACAGGTTAGCCTTTCAAGGACTTTCCTATTTGAGAAGCTATCGAACAGCAGCCCTTTATTTTCTACTGCTCTCTTCAAACTTTTGAAAAATTCCCTGTAACTGGAAAAACACCCTTTAGTTTTGCAAAGCTTGCCATAGCTTCTCCCAGTAACTTTAAACTCCTGTCAGTACTTTAATAAATCATAAATTTTTCATCCTTTTCCATCTGATGCCATTCTCTCTCAGTTCATATGGCAGCCTCTAGCACCAGCCTTCAAGAAAGACCTTCACGGCCCAGTGCAATTATCCAGTCTAGCAGCCCTTCAAAACAATAACTTCATTTGTTATTTCCAGTAACTGAATTATTTCACTCTGCACTGTTACATCAGATTAATTCTGCCTGGTACTGGTGATTTGTAAAAATATTCACAAATTTTACACCTTGTCTTGAACATTTCCAGTGCTGTTTGGATCTGATATTCAATGATTCTGATGGGCAGGAAAGCAAATTTTAGGACAAATTTTTTTTTGTGAAATCTACAACTGATTCCACACTCCACTTCCCCCTTCATGTAAAAATGCAAAACTATAATCAAATGCTCTCTGGACAGCTGTGTTCATGTTCAACCAGAAAATGAAATGGAATTGTGTTGTTCTTTGTACATCAATTTAATATTCAGGCTGTAATCCTTTCACATGAGCCAACAATTTTTGTGTGTCTTCCATGTTCTGTCTTAAAAGTCATTTACCTGTAGCTGAGCTAGTATGTCCCTAAATGTCTGAACAATCAGAAATAATTTCTGACCACATGCTGATGCACGGTTTTCCTAAGCTAAGCACTAGTTTTTTTTACAATATCCTTAACACTTAGAACTTCCCTCCTTATAGAAAGAAAAAAGTAAATTCTATTTTTTCAAATTCTTCTTCTGGTAGTTTTAACTTCTGAACTCAATTAACTGAAATCAGAAAAGGTCTGCTCCCTTCACAATCAGGCCCCAAGCCCGAGAACAGCGGAAGAACATCTAAGGGGGGAAAGGTTTCCGTGACACGCTACCCCTGTGAACGAGCTCAGATTTCTGGCTGCGGATATTCCCCGTCACGGCAGAGCACGCAGCTCCCGCACCTATTCCCACAGCAGCCATTTATCCCACTTCAAACACACACCATCGTTTGTTTCCTTGAGTCAGACAGCCTCACTGCCTCCAGTCTGAGCGCACTGCGGGGAGCGGGTGCTGCCCAAGTCACAGCCCTTCTGCTTTTGTGGAAAACTGCTGCCAACTTAGCCGCCTCCTCGGGACGGATCCCCCTCAAAAACCCCACCTTTAGTAAAAACTCCATCTCGAGAATTATTGAGCCAATGAACGGTTTGAAGCGTTGAATCCAGCACCATTCGCAGCGCAACTTAGCACACAATTAGCAACCTTCAGAGAGCACACCCTTCCCTCCTGTCAGGAAGTATCAGCATCCTACAGCCCAAGCAGAGCTAGGAAAAGCCAGCGTGCCGAAGCCTGTGGCGCCGGGAGATCCCTTTTCCCCGGTGTCCAAGGGGCAGCGGCGGCAGCTGCGCCCTCAGGCAGGTCGCTGTGCCCCTCCCGCAGGCGGGCCCGGCCGCACAAGCCGCAGATTGAAACAGCTGCAATTTCTTCTTCACTTCTTGGAAGGCCTCAAGCAAGGGACGGGCAGGTCCATCCCTTACCCTCCCAGGAACCTCTCCCCACAGTTCCCGCCACCTCACGCAGGCTGGTGCCTCACGGCACCTCCACCTGCACAAATCCGGGGGGATTTGCCGACCTGTGTCTCTCTAAACACAATCGTTCTCCCCCTCAGGCACCAAAGCGCGTTTGCAGCTACCGCTGGCCCTGGGCGCCCGAGGAGGACGAAGCGCAGCAGCCCCGGAGCTGAGGGCAGGCCCTGCCCGCCCGGCCCGGGAGGCGCCGCCACAGGCGAGCACGGAGGCACCGAGCAGATCGCGCAATTACCGCACCTGCCACGGCCAAAACCTCCCTCAACACTGCCAGGGAGGCCCGAGAAACACGGACAGCACGGTGTGCTTCAACCGCTGTTCCATGGTACAACCCCTGTATTTAGAATTAAATACCCCACATCTGAATGGTACTGCAAATGTATTTAGTACTTTTTAATTCAAGCTCGCTAGAACTGAGAAGATAAATAATTGTAAATAACTCAGAAACTGTCAACTAAGGTGTGCCACTAGGCAGGTATTTATAGCAAAAGCAGATCTACAGTACTAAAAAGCCAGAGATCACTTCCTCAGCCCAGCCTGCACGTGTCCTCAGAAAGGAGCTGAAACAAGGGAGAAACACCAGTCTCGAACCTGTAGTGGTCTGCCCAAGAATCCATTTTGAGATAAAATTTATGGAAGAAGAATTTCAGTTAACTAGGAACATTCACAATGTTCTAAAATTGCCATGTAGCACACACTAATTTTAAATTTGTTGCAAAACTACAGTTTGCAATTAAAATAGTAAAGAAGGCAGAAATGCCATTCTCTTCATGCTGAAAAATGAGTAATTTCTCACTTTCACAAGGCATCCTGAGAGTTAAGTACAAAATAGACTAAACAAGATGCAAGCTTGGTCAAAATTGACACATGTTTGCCCCTGTCTGAAGTAGTTGGAGAAGCATAAAAATCTGACTGTCTAATTATAAAATGAATTGTAAGTCACTTACTTTTGCATGTGCAACTCTCCTGTAGTCTTCAGTAAGAAGGTTACAGTTAAACAAAAAGACTCCTGGTACACCTGCTATGTTACAAAAACAAATACACCTTCACCACACAGACAGAAAAATCAATACTAAGGCTTGTGAAGGGCTGTTGCAGACAGATCTCCAACACTGTGAATCACATTTTTGGGGTTTTTTATTTTTCCAAGGACAAAAAGTAGAACATCAATCTATTTTATTTCAATCTTTATTATAAACAATTTTGTAGTTTTCAGAATGGGTTTGCTACATATTAGATAACAAAAACATCAAATGAATCAGTTTTATCTTTTACTAAATTAAATCAGAACCAGCAAAACAAGTATTTTTTAAAAGGATTTAGTCTATTGCAAGAAAAACAGCTTTACAAACATGGAATTAAAGATACACATTTGATCATATATACATAAGCAGCTGATGACACTGTGGACAGAAACATACAAACAACTTCTTTGCACATAAATAGATTTTTAAAAGTATATTTCTTTCACATGTGTACAAAATTATTTTGTTTTCTATAGTGAGAAAAGTTCTTGGAGACAAACAAGGACTTCTAAGAGACAAAAGCCTACATAAGATGTGGGCTGTCATGCACACAAAAATGTAATAATACAATTTACATAGCATTCTTATACAGTACTTGAGCTTCTTATATACATAATTACAAGACACTTTTGTACACGAGATGCCACCTTTGCAAATGAAATGGCACCTCCCCTGAAAGGCTGCATTAGTTCCAGTGTTGTATAAAAAAGATAAAACAAGTTTCAAAAGGCAGCACCACTCTGCAGAGTCAAGGATCCACTGAGCTGCAGCTATAGTGAAGGCAGTGGGGTAATTATGCTGGCTTCTGTGTTTACACAGCCCAAGTGGGAAAGGTTGAGATATGACCCTTGAAGTCTATACAATACCTTCTACAAGATTTGTCTGTGGCTAGAAAAACAGATTTTACCAGATCCATGGCTAAAGCCACACACTTTTGCTCTTCATCTCTATGCTACTTAAGTCAAGCATTTGCTTCTGTCTTTGGGAGAGAAGTCTGGCTTTCGTATGACCTTTTCAGTATGGTTATTTACCAATGGTGGGGCTGAGTTTAGCACACACAGGACCTGTGAAACTTTTCTTTAATGCATGCAGAAAGAGGACCCTGCTAAGCTTCTGCTGCTCATAACCTGTGAGAATCAGGTGCCAAGTTTGCTGTGAGATTAGGTCAGGCTTCCACTTTGT